GGGTGGACGACGGGGTTTGGCACGGAGGGCGAAAAAAACCGACACGACAATAATAGCGACGCGCGATACAGAGCGGCGAGACGACGGACGGGGACGGAGAAAGAGCGAAAAACAGCGCGCAAGACGGACAGGGCGTGTGGCGGGGAGCGAAACGTGTACCTGCAACAACGACGACGCGACGGACGCGCGTAGTGCGTACGTGACGTAGGACGTTCGTCGTCGTCGTCGTCGCCGCGGTCGCGGGTCACGTTTGGGTTTTCGGTACGAGCGCGCGTGTCCGCGGCGTCGCGGCCGATCGGCATGCCAAATGCCCCTGACCTAGGCCCCCCCCCCCGTCCGCGTTTACGCGGCGCCGTGCCGCCGGGCCGCCGGCGCGCGGTGGAAACGGAAAAAAGCAGAGAAAAAAAAAAGAAAAAAAAGAAACCGATACTATAAAAATAACGCTGTACAGGTACCGCGGGCCGTCGTCGTTGCAGTGTTATGCCCGCGCAGAGTGTCGCCGCCGCCGCCGCCCCGGCCCAATTAACATTCAACTCGGCCTTCATCGCGTGCGAGCGACGTGTTCGACCGGCGGATCACGTCGCTACCGCCGCCGCCGCCGCCGGAACGCGACAAATCCTCGGCGGCCTCTTCGCAGCACGCGCTCAACACCTCGCCGCCGCCGCAGCCGCCGATCGGCCGCGGCGTGCGATCCGGATAATAAAATTAATACAATAACGTAACTGCGCGGCCCCCGTTATCACGCCGTTATCGTTTATACAGGGCGATCGTTTTGTCGCGGGCCCGCGGCGAGCGTCTGCACCGCGTGCCTAGCGTCTAGAGCGTGTCCCCCCCCCGCCCGCCCCCCCTCGAAGACGGCGCAGCACGACCGTCGCGGTAACTCGGAAAGTTTCGGCCTTTTTCGATGGTCCGAGAAACAATAAGTATGGCTCTGAGATATCGTTGTAACAGTTCCGTTATTGTCGGTCGCCAAACCGAACCGCCCGGCTATTTTCGATTTTCAAAACGGCGGCGAATTACGTTTCGGTGTCGACATTTCCGTCAACCCGTCGAAGAGATATTTCACTTTTAAGTTTGAGTCGGGTGACCGTATAGCGGAGCGCTATTCAAACGCCGCGCGCCGTGCCACCGCACGAACATTAATGATAAAAGAAAAAAATTCTCGAAAAGTTAATACTTTCCTGCGAATCATATCTTCGCGGGACACCCTGTATATTGTACTCTACAGACGCGGAGATTTTTCGGATATACCGCGCGGGCCTTTCACGCTAACAAACGATCTTATTTACGATATTCACAATATTTCTAACTAATCGTACCCATGATTACGTGTATATACACCGTGATAATTGGCGGTAAGCCGATATGACTTTTTTCCGATACCCGAAATTCTGATATTCGCCATCTAACCGATAAAGCCTACACCAGATCCGAAATTCGAAATCGGAAACAACGAGCCGGTATTGAAATCGAAGAGCTCGGCGCATCAACAAGACCACTTTTCGAAAGTGATTAGAAGTAAAAACAAAAAACAAAAAAGGACGGACGTATTTCGCACGATGGTGTAGCCGCTGTTATGATAAGCCATTGCTAACGAAAAAACAATTCTGATCGGGGTTCGGTTGGTGGTTTCGCTTTGTCAACAATATATAATATGTCATATAGTTGGTAAAATGATTACGACAATGTGCGTTTCCGCGACTACAATGGTTGTTTAAAAACGATTTGAAACAATGAAAACTTAATAATAATCAAAAAAATTAAATGAAATCGGTTGCCGATGCCGCCCTTGTTTTTAATATTTTAATCGTGTTCGCCCCAAAGGACCGGGCGGTCCTCATTATCTCGAATATCAATGAGAATTTCGAAAAAAAAATTACCCGTCTAGGGTATCGCCCAGAGAACGTATATCCTTTCGGAAAAAGCGCCGCGCTCGACGATCGGAGCGAGCGTTCCGGTAGTAAAAGCGTTCACGTAAAAAAAAAAAAAAAAAATAACGAATAAACGCCGTTGCAAAACCCATACGTTCTTCGCCAAACGCTCGGAAACCGGAAAACCATTCGGTCCGCGGCCCGTGCGGTCGCGCCTCGTTCGGTATTTTTTATCACGCGGGCACCGCAGACGGAATGCGCCGCGCGTCGGTCCGGCACGAGACTGTGGTTGCCGTAACCACGGTTGATAACATTATTATTATCTCGCGTTCGGAAGCCGTGCAAAACGCATGGGTCGCATGATAAATACAACGACAATGATAACAGCAACGGGGACGCGCGGACGCGGGCCGGTCGTTACGTTTTCGTTTACGAAACGTCGGCGATTACGGCCGCGCGGCCCGGATTGGCATTTACGTTTATGATAATGTGTGACGTGCGCCCGGCACACGGCGGTATGCGTACTCGCAGTGTGACACTGCCGGTATATCATAAAAAACGCACACGCGCACGCGCGCGCGCGCACACGTATATATTTATTTTTTATTTTTTTATTTTTTATTTTTTTTTGTTTCTTCGTCTTTCGTCCCGAGCTAGACCGTCGACGAGGAGCCGGTTCGACGCCAAGACGTAATATACACACACACACACACACACATATATGTATACGTATAGAGAGAATATCATAATATTACCAAACAATAGCCCACGTAATTACATAGCGTTTCCACCCGTGCGCGTCGTTGTCGTCCTTCGCGCTCGCATACAATAATATAATTTATTAAAAAAAAAAAAGAACAGAAGAAAAATATTTATACACAGACTCGCGCGCGCGCGCCCAGGTACCGCACACGCCTGAAAATTCCTACAAGAGACCGAAACGTTTCGCTGTCGTCGCGGTCGTCGCCGTGTGTCTAAACGGCGCGACGCGCGCGCTCGTTTTTCGAAACGGTACACGGGCGCGAACGGCGTAAACACGTCGTGGGTACGGGGGACGGGATGCGGCCCGAATCTCCTCTGACCCACGGGTGTTGACGAAAACGTGAAATTCGCGGACACGGACGGTCGGCGAGGCGATTGAAATTTGAAACCACCAAATGGCGCGTCATATCCTTGATATTTACGCCGCATCACGCGTGCGCGCAATCGCTTCTCTGTTACGGCGGGAGACCTTACAGGAGTGCGCAAAGCCATAAAAAAAGAACACCATTATCTCGCAAAAACGCGGCGAAGTTCGCGTTGAAATTCAACCAACGTTTTATCATTTTAAACCACAGCACAAAAAAAAAAAAAAATTTTTCCTGATTTTAGTGAAGAATGTGATGGTTTTACAAAGATGTGTATTCATTTTTTTTTTTTATGTGAACACTTTTTCCACCAGAAACCCAACCTACTCCGATTATCGAGCACAACGCCTTTTCTGTAGGAAACGTTTTCTGGGTGATACTTCAAAGAGGTAATATTTTTGAAATTCTCATTAATATTTGAGATAATGGAGAAAACCCGGTTCTTTGGGTTGAAAAACCATTGAAAGATTAAAAATAAGGTTGTCGTAACCGTTTCTCCGTTAGCGACGGTTCAATCATTGCTTACGTTAAACTTTCCGTGTGTATCCTATTTGTTTTTAGTTTTATGCGATCGAAATCGTTTTGGCCAATCGAAAATGCTCGTCAATTTTACACAAGGTCGTTGTCACGATGGTTACCATTATTAGTGGTACGACGAACAATTTTAACGCGACGTAGCAGTTCCTTTTGAAAAGCGTTTAAATCGAAAATTTTAATGGGATCATGTAACGGACAGTAGAGGCGCGCTCAAATTTCCACGCGCTAATTAAAACAAGTTTTTTCGAATACGAAATAAACTGTAATATTGACCGTAATTTATTGTGTTTGATATTTAACACGTGTACACTACTACACGTAGGTAGATATGCATACGATATCATAAAACTATATCGGCGATTAAATATACTAACATACCGTTAATATATTGATAATTACCGATACGATTTTTATAACGCATTAATCATTTTTTAGCGTTAGACGATTTATCGAATGTTTCTGATTCATAAAACACGTAATGACGTTATCGTTACGTCGATTATTACACCGATTACGATAAATAATAATTAATCGTGTTAAAACCATGACCTGCCTTTGCCAATACTCGGCAATCGCCTCAACCGTACCGTTTTGTAGAAGCCGAGCCGCAATAATTAACGTGTAGTCGTCGGATAAAAATAATTATGTAGTAAGTACTTAACAATAATGTTGTTAGACGAGTACCTGTTCGATTACACCTATTTGTTCGCCTGCTATCAGAAAATAATTATTATGAAAATCCGTTTTTCGTAACGTACTCGTAATCATAACATTTATTGCGAATCGAATTTATTTATAACTCGTGTATTGTAAATGTACGTGCGTATGCTTTAAGTACCGAACGGCGTTTTTGTAAAAAAATAAAGCGATTCGATCAGAGCTTTGATAGTTAAAACAGTATTGTGGGCGGCTATTGATGGGGGGAAACGGTAACGTGTCTCCCCGACCTTGGAAAATATCAAAACCAGCAAAAAAAAAAAAAAAAAATGGTTTTTTCGAGCCTCGACGCGAACGGACACAAATCTAGATGATTTTCGGGTATCGAAATCGATGTTTTATTACGTTAAAATACGAGTGTTAAAACATCACTGATAACGTATGATAATCGCGTCACGGTTAAATAGACTGCAGATTCGGTAATTTAATTATTTTTTACATACATACATACATATATTATATGTTTTTAAGTCTAAATTCTAAACTGTTTGTTTCGCCCGGCGTTAGTAAAAATTAATTTTATAACGATATTTTTCGACGATTGCATTTTAAATGTTATGCGTCGGGTACAATATTATAAATCGTATATTTGCGCGTGGGCAATTGAAATCGTTTAAAGGCTTGACGGTATAAATATTAAACGTCCGTATTATACGTACAAGCGGTACGATCCGAACCGAATTATCCCTCGCAGAAAAAAATGATCCCGGATCCCGATGACGGATTTCTTGTGCGCCAAAATACCGTTATAAATACCGAACCGTGACTTTTGTGAAAATCTCATATCCGGGTTTTGAGATAGAAAAAAAAAAAACAACCGCCGCATACGTATGCAAACATAACAAACACCGTCCTTCCGGAAAAAAACCGTACAGTGGTGCGTTGATCCATTTTTCGTTACCTTCAGTATTATTATGTATGTACAGAACGTTACGGGATATTTTCATAACGGACAAACGAGATAACTATTATAAATTTATATTGCTTTTAAGGAAACGAGATTTCTCGCATTGCTATTATGTAGGTATTGTACCGTTTTACCCGTCGAGTTTCGTTATATTTATAAACCGTAAGTACCTGCCTACGTGTGGTTTTTCTTTCTTTATAAAACATTTTTATCAAACAGTTCAGAATGTAATTTTTTGAAAACGATTTTATTTTTTTATATTTCAGAGCCCGTTTAAATAATCGTAAATTTCGAATTGATTATTTAGCCGGCATAATGTTATTAAATTAAACTCGTAATATTACGATGTCGATCCCATCAAATATTTTTTTATTATTTTTTTTTTTCTCACCGTATTACGAATCAGGTACTCGATTTTTTTTATCCCACACTTTTTTCTCCGTAACAACAATCAAGTCGTTTATTACTTTACTCCGCTCCGTGTTCGTTGTACATATATATTATCGAGTTAACCGTAGCAGTAGTAGTAGTAGTAGTAGTAGTAGTGGTCGTAGTGGTCGTAGTGGTCGTAGTATATTATAATGCGCTACGAGAGATGATTAAAATCGTATCAATTTTCCACGGAGGTTTTTATTAGGTTCGGAACGCCGAGAATCGATTACCCCGGGCCCCCGTGCGTACGGCGTACGTAATGTTGTTGCGTGTTAATAACCACCCGACAGATTTTGTCCGGTCGCCCCGCGCGCGCGTGTATTCGTACATGCCACATCCGTATACGAAAATGAAAATCGTGGGACGCGCTATAATACCAGCGTACGTTTTATATTATATTTGTCAATTAATAAGTTTAATTTTTATTATTATTATTATTATTATTTTTTTTTTTTTTTCGTAACCCCAATAATAACCGAGATTTATACCGCGCCGTGCCTACCTGACTGTATACACACGTAAATTATAAATACACGATTGAACCACTGTGCTTCGGGAACCGGTCCGACCGGAACCGAACTGTTAACGTTTCCTCCCCCCACCCCACCGACGGAGACGAGGAGGAGAAGAAGAAGAAGAAGAAGAAGAAGAAGAAGAAGAAGAAGTAGTAGTAGTGGAAGAAGAAGTGGTAGCAGTAGTAGTCGGAGAAGTGGTAGCGGTAGCAGTGGTTGTTGTAGCGGCGGAAGACGGCGGAGAAGAAGAAGAAGAAAAAGCGAATAAAATGAAAAAAAAAAAAAACAAAAATAACAATAGCCGGGCGAAACAATGGCACGCGTGCGCGCATCGTCGCGTACGTGCCCGCGCGCTTACGCGCCGAAAACCCGATCGGCGGGAACCCGAACGAGTACGCAACATGGCGAAAACTGGGCTACGTCGCGACCGCGCCGCGGGTTGTTGTGCACAATGTAATTTCGTTGCGTTCGCCGTCCGGCGGCCCCGTCGCCGGGCGCGGCGGCGGACGGACGGACGGCGCGCCGCGGCGAACACGTTTTTGCGTCGCGCGCACACGTTTATATTTTATTTATTTTTTTTTTTTTTCGATTTTGTTATCGCGCGTTAATACGGTACCGATATACGATACCGAAACGGCAGTACGGTTTACGGTCCGGAACCGTACTTGGCCGCGGTATCGGAAAGCGCGAGGGGGCCGTTTTCGTTTAATATGTCCCGACGCTTTTGTCCGAGAGAGAGAGAGAGAGAGAGAGAGAGAGAGAGAAAATTACCGTTTTTGATTTAGCGTGTTTTCCGCTCGACCGTCGCGACGCGCGTTCGCTCGGAGAAGGGAGACGACCGATTTTTTTTTCTTTTCGAAACATTACTTTTTCACGTTTTCGAATGCGATGGAACAACGGGTTTGTTGTTACGGTTACAGCCGCGGATTCGGACCGCATACGTAGACCCGGACTCGGCAAGCTTATTACCGGAGAGTTGGAGTGGGATTTCATTCCGTTTTGTCGGTCTGCGCGTGGTGATACGGAAAGTCGTGATAATTATGAACTCGGATTTGTTTTTTATCCTCGACATTCTCGGGACAATCTTTGTTGCGGCTCGGCGCATCTGCGGTTTTTCAATTAAAGTCTTTCCGGCATGAGCCATCTGGAATATCGCGTTTCTCAGCCAACCTGGGTCAGAAGAAAAAATGCCCACTCCCCCCCCCCCTCCCTAATGTTAATCTTATTTCGGATTCGTGTTTAGAAGGAGTCGCAGAAGCCAGTTTTACCGATCCTAGTGATCTTCGACGCCCCGTCGGCGGCCAATTAAAAACAGCCCGGGAACTTTTTAATCACATCTCGTACAGTTATTATGGTTGTAGTTTTCGGTCTGTCGTCATTACGAATTCCGACATAACATTACTATTATCGTTATCGATTATCCCGTAGATATTTGTATTTATTTCGCTTCGGTACGCAGCGATAGCAGTCGAATAATAACAATAAGTACCAACGCGTGTATAGGGAGGCATTATAAGTACTGTACAAATATTTGAATGTACACTATTCGTCGGCGTCGCGCGCAGCGAAGAGAATCGTTTACATTATTATGATGGTCAACGGACGGACTGTACACGGAGGCCTCGTGCGTGAAATTTTCACCGGCGGAGTTATTATTAAGACATCCCCACGGATTGGCCTTTAACAATGAAATAAAATAGAGATGGAAAACAGTTAAAAAAAAAAAAATGTGAGTATTTTCCATTAGTGCGTGTGTGCTTAGGTATACATTTAAATCGGCCGTGAAGCGGACCTAACCGGCGGCACTTGTCCGGAACAATGCCATATTTCAATAAACTACTATATGGTTTTTGGATCTCTCTCTGTATCTGCATCCTTGGAAAATTGATTGTTTTTGTTGCTTCTGTTGCTACGTGGCCAAACAAACAACGATGGGAAACTAAAATCCTATGCATGCGTATAATATGATATAGCAATAGAGGATGCTACGAAAAATAAATGACGTAGGTACGAATATTATAATAATATGTTTTATATTGTAGATACCTAAAAGATACCCGAACCTATATTCTGTAGGATACCATAGTATAAATACCGCCCTCATAACAGCAAGTGTACATTATAATGGGTAGTAACTAAACAAAACGAACCGTCCGGAAATTAATACTCATATATAATTACGGGCAATAATTTATTATGTTACAACGCCCGTTTCGACTATTCACAGAATAATTTTTAATTTTTCCAGACAATTTGTATGCTTTTCATAACAATAACACGATGGTACTTTTTCATCTGTACCGGGTGATCCGTACACTCACTATCTCGGAACGTATTCACTTTTTTCGGAATTTGTATTCATGACATTTAAGAAACAAGCAGCTCTACATTTTTATAGTTATGTTATTTTTCGTCGTCGTCATTATTGGGGTTTAAAACCACTATCTATCTTTGATTTTCAAATGGCAAACTGTATTATGAATATGTGGAGTATTAGTTAAAATACATTTTAGCGTTGAAATTTTCGATTTCCGTCGAGCCGCGGACGAGATATTTCACTTTTAAGTCTGGGTTGGCGGAGAGTAGTTGTTAATAATGCACCACCACTCTACTCCGACCCAAATTTAAAACTGGAATATCTCGTCGACGGATTGACGGAAATCAAAAAATCAAAAATGTCAACACTAAAATTTAGTGGTTTCACCACAAAAAATAACATAAATACAATAATGTAAAGCAGCTCGTTTCTTAAATATTCTAGAAAGCAAATTCCGAAAAAGTGTAATACTTTCCGAAACAATGAGCGTACCCATTTCAAATGGATCGCCTGTTAGATTTTCATTATACCTAGGTAAACGTAGATTTAAACCGAATTGTCAATTCCATTTTGCTATTGTGAGAAAGTATACACGTATAGCGAATAAAGTTATAGTATTAAAGTTAATAAAAAAACTTTTAAAATTAAATTAATTTAACGGTTGTCAATTCGCCGCGTATTAGTAGGATTTTTACGAAAACCGATTACGCCCAAACAACAAACTAAAATCGTTAAAACGCGACATATTATTTTCCAAATCGAATTTCGAGGTACAAACCGGCGTTTCCGTTTTGGCTGCATTTCGCCGAATATAAATAATACGCGTCGGTTTCATTAACACAATGCTGCCCGAAAATTATATACTCATAAATATTTTTTAGGGAATTTAGTAGCCTAGTACTTGGCCGTTTTAATGAGGACGAAATACGAATTATGATATTATTTTATCGCTGATAAATAGGTACTGGAGTACTAGGCTACGAACTTAGGTTTTCAAATAATATATTTGTTTATGTATTGATATTATTATATAATACGTACATAATTACACGGATACATAATTAATTTTAATGTTTACTGTAAACGTTATTTCACGTACAATATTTCAGGGAAATATGTGGGTTTTTAAAAAAAAAAAAAAAAAAAAAAACATAAAAATTTCTTTATAAATTATTATTGTTTTAATAACATAATATACGAGTATTGTGCGATAAATCGTAATTATTATTATTTATCAAACGTTATCTTATTATCATTCTTTAATAACCCATCATAAGTTATTGAACTTTTTTTTTAATGCAATATGTTTTAATAGGTCTACACGTTTTTAAATTTTAATTAATTTTATTAAATATTAACGAATAATTCTTCGGTTAATATTTTGTTCGCAAAGTGGTATTACATTACAATAGTTCAATTCGATAAAAACGGTATTGCATGTAAATCAAAAATGATTATTATATACCTTCTGTACTATAAAATTCAAAGGCGGACGAGTTGAACTAACAATGAAAGTTTTCGAAAGTTCACAAATTAAATTTTTAAATACAGAACTCTGATTAAAAATATAAATTTACTTCGAAAAATCATTAACAACCTATGGAACGGAAAACGATCTCCAGTAAATAGCATAATAGTGCCGACAACGTTGAACACTATTGAGACCGATTGAGAGTATTTTGAATAATTTTTATGATGACCAAAACAATATGCTTCGTTTATTATAAACAGAAATATATATAATTATGAAACCGTCGTTTCCATTAACTTTCCCGGTTGTCTAAAATGTTTTCCGCTTATACAAAAAAGCTACAAGAAAAATTAAAAATTACGTCCTTATTGCGTCGATTAGATCGAAAGCTACGAAAAATTGTTAGTGCCGTGTTTAGATTAGAGCAAAATTTCTGATGAAAAAAAAAAAAAAAACCAACACATTCTTCGGTGCGCTCAAGATTAAAATAAATAAAAAAAAAAAAATAATAATAATTTAATATTACGAGAAACGCTGCGGCGATTTATTCGAAATAACGTTACCGGGACGTAAATTACTCCTTGCATTGCTATACCTGCCTACCTATGAAGTACGGCCGAGCTTTTAATAAACACGGAATAGTTTTTAGCGCTCGTGCTGTTAAATGATTCATACATTATGTTTTCTGTAAGCGCCGCAGAGTCCGTTGACCGGGTGTTGTATTTGTTGTTTTCTTGATAATAATTAATTATTATCATCTCTCTGGTCGTAGGCGTTTCTCGTTGCTTATTGCGTTAACCTCCAAAGTCTACGGCTGCAAACGGCTACGGATAATCCTCACGAAAAACCAGTAATATACGGTCAGCCGTCGTGTATAAACCGTATATATATATACACACACACACTATTATAAATACGAGACGGTATATAGGTACGTATAATATATAATACAAGTAATATACACGAAATTAAACGAATATTTGTATTAATGTTCTTGTACACGTTATTAGTTAGTGGGCAATAAATTTTAGCAGTCAAACCGGACATTTTCGGTGCCTCCTGATAATAATTGATTCGTATACGCCGGGGAAACTATACCGTATAGACAGGCATAGATAGGTACGCCTATAAAAAAATATTACGGAAACACCTAGAGTATTAGCTCATAGTGTCTGCCCGTTTGTTCCGAAAAAACTTGACCGCGAGTAAACTATATTAGGTACATAATACTTGTGTATACAAAAACACACTGACCTGGCGTTCACCGACGGGGAATGGCCATCTTCTGTCAACGGTTTCCTATAAAAACAAATATTGATAAGTACACGGAAAAAAACTAAACACACATAGGTAACATAAGGGTTGTGCGTTTAAAGCACTGAAAAACCCACTAAAATGCGATAAATCCTAAATTTTCTTCATATTTAATTGACTTAAATGTTTTATTTTAATTTAAATGATATTCCACAATGCGATGTAATTTTACGCGGCTCGAACATTTTTTACATGCTCGAAAATTGTAAGACATTCTAGTTAATTAATTGTATTCGTCCTCAACCAAAACTTATTCGTCTAGACTGCTGCATAGAACAACTATTTATTGAGTGCCTGTGTGAATGATTTTAAAGAGAGAGAACCTAAAAGAAGGGGGAGGGGAAAATAAACTGTTAGAGGTTTAAAATATCAAAAAAAGAAAGTTGCAAAACTGAGTCCGTTGTTATATATTTTGAGCTTTTTTTTGGGAACCCTTATGGTTTACAAGAAACTAAAAAAAAAATCATTAGTTACAGATCTACAGTTAACAGTAAAAGTATATTACATACTGCTACCCTACATTTGTGATATTCATTTCCACAAACAAGAATAATTAATTTATTAATTTTTACTTGGAGCAAACATTGTATTATTATTCTTTAACGCATTTTACACATACCTCGTCTTAATAGTATATTATGTAAATGTTTGCAAATGTAACGCAGATTTATTTTTAAATATTTTTAACGTACAATTTTCCCAAGGTTAACGTGTTGAATATTATTAAACGTTATTTATTCGTAAGTATACGATATTGTACATAATATACACATAATGGTAAAACTTGTGGTACAATTAAATACATTTCGACTAAATATCGAAGCAATTGTTTATGTTTTTGTTTCGACAATACGTAAACTTAGTAGGCATTTATAATATTATTACAACGTTGCGTAATATTACTTTGAAAACGAATTTACGCAAGTAGGACCATTTGTCAACCATTTGTGTGACCATTCGATTTATTATTTTTCAATTAAAAAAAAAAAAATACACACAAATTGTACAACGTCTATTGAAAATATAGTCCACGAGTATAATAGGGAAGTCACTTCGGTTTAGGTACTTATTCAATCGGGACAGCCTCTAGAGCTATATGAAATTAAAATATTGAAATTGAAATTTTACTAGAACGGTATAATTGTATTTTTTGAACATTTCGAATTATATTTTTGTAACTAATTGTTAAAAGTTAATTCAAAGTAAGTGGATATCGTGAACCTTTAATATCAATGCCGTATCTAATATAATCAAATACCGAAATTGTATACAATGTTCGGACTGTACCTGTATTGTGTTGCTGAAATAAAAAAAATCGCGTGTCCGCGCTTTTTTCTGAGAATTTATCGAAAAGCAAATTTCCCCGCCGAGCTAGAAGCAAATACATATTTTCCCAACGTCCGCGTTGTAGAATTTCTGTATAGCTTACTTACTAGCGGTCTCTATTGAAAATCCGAATCGGTAGTTACGTACACGGAGCCGCAGTCCGTGTACACGTAAACGAAAATTGCGTAGGCACTCGTGTACGGTATACATTTTAATAAATTATCCGTGTTCACTTACGCACGTGTTTTAGCGCTAGCCACGGATATTGTTTGTCAAGACGATAACGCACAATGTTTAAATGTATTACATTTACTGTGGGTTTTGTATGGTTTTAGTTTATTTCATTGTCGTATCAAAATTTGTAAACGTATTACGAACTTATTGTAGATAAGAAAAACACTGAAAACCGCGAATACGGTGAATAATAACAATAATCACACGTGCACATTTATTTTCCACGTAAACGGTTTTATATTTACTGAGCGTTGAAAATGCGGATTAATATTATAGATTCGTTTTGTCTACGACGCTAAACATTCTAATACGCACGCGGGACCATATTGGCTTTGTCGTCAATTCTGTCATCGCAATAAACATACTTGGTTTATGATTAACGCCGCGTTTCAAAATCTTGAACAAAATTCCGTTCAAAACGCAATACTGATCGGTTTCGGAACAATATCTATACAACCCCGTGTCCAACAATGTCAGAACATTCCAAATAATTACCCGACGCTTAAAATCCAACTAATAATAATAGCTTCTCGTTTTATATTCCTTGCAGTATTTAATTGTCGGTTTGTGCACGTGTATGTGTGTATTGATTTACCATGTCTTATATTTGCCTGAATAAGTACAAGGCTCATTAGCCGGCACTGGGGACACGCTAAATGGTAAACTAGAGTAGTAGTGAGTATACACAGGACGAAAATATAATTCGTTAAAAGTTTTGGACAAGACACACACCGACTATTCTAAAAAAAAAAAAAAAAAAATAGAATTATAAATCAAAATGTTAAGCTTCTAAAATGGTACATAAATTTCAATCGAAATATACGTAGATTTTTTGAAAATTCTAAAAATGTGTTGTTTTTTTTTTTTTTTTTTTACAACGATTAGTCGTTATGGATACTCATTAATAACATGCATGTTTATGCTTAGTAATAATAGGTACGTCTTACCACTCTATCTTACACTACATGCGCAGTATAGTGAACAAAACATGATAGATGAACGCCTTAGAATACATGTATAGTCTGTTTATTATATTAGTGGTTTTTTTTTTTTTTTTAAAAACGTTATTAATCATAATTTAGTGTTCGGTTTTTACTTTTTTAGCACTTCAAAAATTTCATAGAAATAATATAATATACTATGTTTTTTTTTGTTTAGGTTTTTTTTTTTTTTTTTATACCGTGCGTGAATCCTGTGAGTAGTGATTCTGTTGAATTACAGTAGTTATGACTGAAATAACGGTTCAAACTAATAATGTTTGACGTCATTCAACGCACTTAGTATAAAATGTATAATATCGAGAATATCAGAAACGTCAGACGCGTTCGAACCTTTGGGTAGGCCTGTACTGTTGTAGACCGCCTACGGTAGGCGGGAATAAGTTGATAGGAAAGGTCTATACGATGATTTATGTCAGTTTTTCATCTAACCAATAGGGAACCCAGAAAACAAAAATAAACTTCCAATACTTAAGTATTTTTCACAGGGCAATAAAAAAACGCCGCATTGGAGATATTATTATATTTTCTGATCCCTCTCTTATTGGATCGCCTTAGCTGTAAATTTCAGATCTCTACGTACTATAGATTTTGTCGTCCGAAATCAGTGCACCGTAATTCGTTGGAATTTTAGATTCTGAACGCAGAGAATAACGTATTGGTTTACACCATAGTGTATGCAACATTTTTATTTTTTCGTGTACCTACTATTTTATACTTTTCTACCGGAAATCTTTCACGAATCAGAAACCGACCGGAGGGCTTCTTTGTGGGGTTGGAGCAGAATTGTAGTATTGTATTATAATAGTGCAATGGCAGGTGAATTTCCTCGCAGTTCTCTTAATTATTGAAAAAACCGGAAAGTTTACCGAAATAACGGTTTCATTATATGTATGCATATTATTTTTTTTCTAATTCGGTTAAAAATATTCGCAGAGAGTTGACATTTTCAAATAATACTCATATTGGCATTTTCTAGACGTGGTAGAGTGTTCAACACGTTATGGAGATTTTTTTATTGGGACATCAAATGTCTGTTTGATATTTTCGAGTTGTATATATCTTTGAAAGGACATTTAGAAAGCCAGAAAAATGTTTCGATTATAAAGTACCGACGTTTGAAAAATCCGTATCTTTTGACGTACGGTATAAATATTTGTAACCATTTTTACCAACCGAAGACACGCGTTTTGAAGGAAAAAAAAACACAGCAAATAGATTTTTCACTATGCATCCGAAACTTACAAAACCCATAAATATTGTCTTAAGACATTGTATCAAGACCAAATTTACAGTTTTCGAGTATAGTGTAAGCCATATACTTTTTTCGTTTCGTAAAAATAGTTTTTGACTACGGTAGTCCTGTTTCGTTTATCGATTAAATTGGTAGGTTCCATCACGTGGCACGCGTATTTATCGTAAATTAATCACCGGGCATTTATATAGGTATACATTTTTTATTATTATTTTTATTTTTATTTTTTTTTCTGTTGAAGAGATGTAATCCGTATAGTTTTAGCTTAAGTACCCTGGTTAGGTACTTTCTAAACGTCACACGCGGCCGATGAAGATCACGTTACTAATGGATAATAATTAACCATCACAGATACGGTCACGGTATACCCGTGAGGACACGTGATCTCCAAACCAAACATTACACTTTCGTAAACATTTATTATCGACGCGAGGTCAATTTTTTTTTTCTGTTTTTCTTCTTCCAAACAGTTCCTCCCATTAGATAATTTATATAACTGTCGAAAAAATGGCCACGCTAATCGCATGTGCCTGTAGACGACTTCTTACAGTATAGTTAATAGTTTGAAAGGTATTTATACACCTACAACTTAAGAGTCTGTTGGTAGAAAAAACGTACACTAATTTATGCGCCAGGTACTTACCTAATAATAAAGCATACGGGTAGATTAATAGACGAGACTCGTTTTGAAATTTCTATGTAACATACAAAGTGTAATATTTTTTATAACTAACAAAAATCACGAGTTTAATATTTATTTTATTTATGTTTCGTTTAATTAATTAATTAATAACTTTTTAAGATTAAAAAAAAAAAACACCGATTTTTTCTCGGAAATTATGTAAATTGTAAATGTACGATATACATTGTTTGTTTATTATTAACTCCCCGCCGTAGCTTATTAATACATTTAGATCCTTGTATTCATCCGCATTAATATCCTTCGCGATTCGGGTCGTATGTTCTATCCTTGGTCTTCCCCTTCCCTCGCATCCATCAACATCCCATTCAATCGTTGTTTTTAGTAACCTTTGCTGTTTTAATATACACTTATTATTACGTTCTACTACCATATATTTTCTGAATTGAATATACAACCGTAGTTTGACCCATACAAAAGTGAATAGGTTTATTAAAATATACGGGTACACGCGTACATATCGTGTACATTTAAATAAATCGGCCAAAACAACGACGGAACGATTGAGTTATGGAGGACACGAAGGTCCAAGGAATCAAGAATCTCAATCCCTTTCCAACCCTCTCCCAAAGGTCGACATTAATTAGAGACGCGTGGCCAGACATAGGCGTGAGCGACGACGAGCATAAAAGACCTTTGATAAGACAGAAAAAAAAAAATGACTACTCTACTCGGCATTTTCCAAGGTATCCCCGGGTGTCGAACACAAATCACGCATATTTTCGTCGGACATCCGGTTATACGGGTATAGTGTGTTAGTTGGTCGGTGCCCGAATCGAACAAATAAAAACCACACACGTGGTCGAAATCCCGAACAATACGCCACCGCGCCTGTACCGCGTGTGCACCGCGGCTCTTTCGGGACGACACGGTAAAATCGCCGAAAACGAAAACGCATTCTCCAAGAAGAAAAAAAAGGCGGCGTAGAGGAATCGCACGTCGACGTTTCGGAAAAATCAGCCGGGGCGCGGGTTTCCCCTCTCGCCCCCCCCCGCCCCGTTCCCTGCCGTCCGTGTTCGAGCGCTGGCACCGCAACAACAACAGCGCCGAGCGTGCTGTCGGCGGGCCATGGCACTCGCGTCGAGAACGCTACGAGCGACACCGCGTGCCGGACCGACGGCGGCGACGATACCGGGCGGCGTGCGTGCGTGCGTGCATGCGTGCGTCCGACAATATCGCGGATGACCCAGAACGCAATGCACAAGACGCGGCACGTGCCCCGGCTCGTCCGCACGCCGAGTCACGTAACCGCTGCCAGCTGCCGGGGCCGCGCGCGCGGTACGCGTGCGTACGCGTAAACGCGCGCGCGCCCGCGTCCGACGCGCGTACGCACGTAACGCGACAATATTCGCGCGGCGGCTGCCGGCCGAGAAACTTCGAACCCCCCTCCCCCTCCCCCCCTTCCCCCCGAACGTTGTAAATGTTATCGTTTCGCGTGAAACTTTCGCGGGTCGCGGACGACTTTACCGCCGGCACAACGCCGCAGCCGACATCGATTGCCCGACGAGCGTACGGCTCTGTCGCGCGGCGTGTACGCAATGGTATTGCGCGCCGCTCGCACAGCCGACAGCTGCCCGCCGTCATTGTCGTCAAACGTCGTCCGACGTGCGTTTTTCGGGGGGCGGGACCCGTTCGGGCCGAGAGACGCTACGTTAATACAGCCCGTTTGGACCGGAATCGTCTTTCAAAATCACTTTGACCGACCGTTTGTTTTTGCGAGCCTTCGTGTGACGGTAGTGTGTTCATTGGTGCGTATTGAACATGGCTGGATTTTCGGCGTGTTCTAAAACCGACTCGGGTAAAAAAAAAAAAAGGAACAGCCGTAAACCTAAATATAATTTACTTATTGCTTAATTTTAAAACTAGTTTTCGTGGTTCGACTGAACGTTTATGGATGTTTAACAGTATTGGGCCGGACCGGTTTGCGAAATCCTGGACAAAACGGGTCGCAGTTTTATTAGTGGCCCAAACGTTCCTGGTCCTGGTACGGCGCGGCGCGGTTACCGAGAAAATAGGTCCGTCGTCACCGCGCGGAGAGGTCCGTTTGTCGATTTACTACGGAGTTTGCGGATAACGCTGATAACGTTCAGTGGCGCAACTACCCCGGCCAGGGGGGTTGAGGCGTGATCCCGGGGTTCTCGACGATTGCCGACTTGCGAGGACGCGATGTCCGCACCACCCGTGTGGTCTCCGTCTAACAAACGTACGACACAACAAATTTGCGTTCGCCGGGCGCAACATCGCGCACTCGGTACCGTCTCATTACGGTGTATTGGCCCGTTTTTCGATTGCGTAGCTAAGAAAAGTATCTGTGCTGTTTTTCTCAAAGAGCGACACGAGTATGGGAAATTTCATAATCTAATAACAATAAAGGAGTGTATATCCCTTTTGAAAATTAAAATATCGATAAATTAGTAGCATAGATTTTGCATAGATAATGCATAAACATTACCTTTAAATTCGTTTATAGGTCAATTCATTCCAATAGTAAAACCAACAGCCCGAAAATTTGCCCTACCGAACGTAAATTTGCCATGCCGTGCGTTTGTAAGACGTAAGATTGTACATTACACAGAACGATCGATATTCAAATACACACTATCATTCACTGTCGCACTATCAAAAAGGGCTTTTAATTTTTAGCGTAGGCGTAAAATAATTTCAATGGTTAAAACTGAAAATTATGTGTTTTCGGTGTACATAACATACGAAAAGTGTTCGGCTGTCAATAATTCGCTGGCGTGTTTTCCGAACGCCACTTCGCCAACGTGTTTACGCAATACACGAAGACGCGATATTTTGTCTACGGTGTATTTAACTGGCGGTGCAGACGTGTAGAATATACGTTTCTGATCATTTTCGGCCGCCGCTTTTAAGTTTTACAAGACGATTGGCTAACCCGCGTTACTTATTTCTGAAGTCATAATGTGCTACATGGTCACAGGCAGCAGACAATAATAGTGAACACATTAAAATATTATCAAGTGATGTTATGTTTTATCGATAATTACATAGAATTTTAAAAATAACTAGGTAGTTATAAATAATAGATTCGATCGAATTTCGATAATATATACAATAATACGTCGGCGTATTGTTAATGATATTTCTGTGGACGTGACTCGTGACTTCAACAATAGTTTAATAATAATATTTCCATAAACAAACATCAATCTCTTATCTAATAATGAAAAAAACTTTATACGTATACATATGCGTACACAATATTATTCATTTATCAACGTGTAACTTTTTACGAGAGTTCATCGTGCCGTCTGTAACTAAATAAACGATTTAAAAGGAAAAAAAAAATCGTTCAATTAAAATATACCTAGTATTGTGTATATCTACCTAAAACGTTAAATTACTCTAATGCCCACCGATTAAAAACACTATAAAGATTAGGTCAAAAGAAATTCTAAAAGACAAACGTACTGTTAATTCTGTACAATTGAAAGTGTATGTGTAATTTGTTGTCGAAAAAAATTAATTACGTTGAGTATTTTAACAGTGTCGATTCTCTATAGATACTCGTTACGTCACATTTACAAATTGGCAAAAATCATGTCTTATACGTTTAGAAAAATGTGTTTGTGAATAATTATTTTCGGAACGAAAATCAAGAGTTTTAAATCATCGCTAGCCCTCAAATTTGAGTAAACGTACGTCTTTCACAATAATTGATTTTAAGCAACTCGCCAGTGCGTGTTCTTTTTATTAAGGAATGCGGATAAACACTCCCGATCGTTTGCGATCTACTAACCGTACGGTTGTCGTACAAATTAGTATTTTCAATGTTCCCCCGTGACGGCCACGCTTTCTAGGTTTTTGACTTCTGGCATACCCATAATTCGTCACTTGAAACTAAAAGTTTCTATCAATTGGTATTTGCGGAAAACGGCTTTTTAATAGATCACGGTATACGTAGAAACGAAATTGCATATTTTTAAGCTTACTACGAAATTTCTATGTTAATTTGCCGAAGGTACAGTCGAAACTTAATGATTCTGAATAGTAAAAAAATAAAAATATTATTTTCTCTTGTATAAACAAAATAGAAACTTTTTAAAGCGAATTATTATTTGGGCGAGACAAGATTCCGTCTAATGATATTCACACATTTTTAAAATAAAAAAAAAAATTCTATATTTACAGTAAAAATAATAACATGAACAATTACTGAAAAAAAAATCCTATACTCCTATCACAAGAAAGTAATATTGCCAACGTTTCATTTCCACGACGATTACATTGAGAAGGTTCTACCGAGAAATTTTACTTTCTTAGATATTTTTATTTTTCTTATCAACAAAAAATTATCGGTTCGATCTGCGGTCATCAAAATCTATTTAAATTAAAGAGCGTAAATTTGTCTCTACAGTCACCGTATCAGATTCAAAACTAAACAACAGCGTTCGGTATCAAATACGAATTTATAATAAATTTTAAAACGGTTCTCCCGAACGATTTCAAAACAACGACCCAGAACATTTCCATTGTCTGCAGGCGACATTTTCCGTGTCGGTCATTTCTTATTTACATATACTATTATTATGTTACAGTAAATCTTTTTTTTTTGCCCGTTTGGCCGCGTGTTAAAATCTGATTTATAGTACGATCCATAACACGTAATATCAATATTCTAACTCAATTCGGTAAAAACTAGCGGAAAACGCGCGCGCACAACTTTCTGCTCGGTCGACAGTGTTATAGAAAATATTACATAATTCGATTGAATATTTCCTCCAAAGTGTATCATTCGTTCGGCGTTTTTTTTTATTTTTATAATTATTCTTTTTCAATATAATAAGTTTTGATTTTTTAGTCGACCTAACGCTTCATCAACGCCGGCATCAAATTTTTCGGGTCGCGCGATTAATACCGTATGTTTTTTAATCGTATTATTACTATTAGGTATATAAAATAACCAATTCTTGAAAATATTCAAAATTAATCTCGTTACAAACGAGGTTTGTTTTTCATTACTATTTGTTTTTGTATTTATTATTATTTAGTTTTTTTTTTTTTTTTTTTTTTTTACGTTTACTTTACAGATATTTGCAACGCTGCACTCGCAGATCCGGACATACAATTATTTCATTCCGTAAAAGGCTTCTCCGGGTTGACGTTTAACTACGGCCCTCTCTCCTATACGGTCATATATACAGTACATATAGTTGACGGTCGTTGTTTTATGCGATTATTTATTTTTATTATTTTTTTTTTTTTCATTCTTATTTCTTTTCCTCTCTTTTTCTATTTTTCTGTCTCTTTTTGTCGTACCGTCCGTACATACTGTTTTAATTTGAACGATTGTATTCCAATGTCGCCCTCAGACGACATGCCCACGTTTGGTCGTCTCTCTCTCAGCTGGCCATTACTCTCATCAAACCAACACTAAACCATCGTCCGACGACCGTTGCTCGCACAGTATAAGTATAGGTATATGTTACAAGTATTTTCATTTGGTTAGCGCACACGCCATCGCCACGTCATAACTCGAATCCGGAGCTATGTGTTCTTAAACAAAAAGTAATAATAATAATAATAATAATAAATAAAACTTAAAACATAAAAAAATGTAATGATGGGCAACAATATTCGAACTGCAAAACATCTGAAAAATGCTTTCTGAAACCACGGGATATAATTTTTTTCGTATAGGAACCAATATCCATAATTTCTCACTTATTGATTTTATGATATGAAAAAATAAAGTTTATTCAAATTCCTATAATCCACGAATTAAACAGTAGACTAGACGCTAAGTAGTTTTTATGAACTAGAGTTTAAGTCTAAGTATCTTATATTATGAAAAAAAAAAAAAAACAACATATCGCGCAGTTATTAAGAATATAATTTTACACAAGATAATTATGATAAAACTGTACATCGCCTGAAACGAAAATATGAAAAATATATTTATATTTTGTTATAGGATGCAAAAAAAAATTGTTTTCAGTGTTGTCTGCGTTGTCAAACACGTCTCCTCTGTCGTTAATTCAACGTATGTAACATAAAAATCACTACTTTTATCATACCTCAGATCTATAAAGACGGGTGCACCTAACGCGACCTACCGACTATAACTATTACGGCATTTTATTTATTTACTTTTTATTTTAAATGTCAAAATCCTTTATATAATATTATTTCGTAGGTACATATTTATACATTATCAGTGGAGTGCCCTTGAGAAATTTTAAATGGGAGGTGATATAACAAATAATAATCACGAATAGACCGCAGAAGAGTTTTTTCTACCCAGTGCGCAACTATGTAGGGAATTCAAAAGTCAAAAATTTAAATTATTACCTAATCTATTATTCAAGCTTTTTCTCGTGACGACTGAAATACCTACCTATGTATATATTTCAATATTAAATAAAATTCGCATACAGGTATGAACCATATTTTTTTTGATGTATTTTTAAGCTAATGGTTTTTTTTTTTTACTTGTATTTTGTTTAATAATTCCTATACGGTACAGATGATTGGATTTGTCTGGTTGCAGCTACACAGAAGGCACGAGAATAATAATTTTTTCAATCAGAAATCATCGGAACGTGGATTTTGACAAAAAGTGGAACTGTTTATTCTTTGCACGAACCCCATTGATATTTTCCGGAAATATTTGTCAATATTTTTACAAAATTGTGTAATAAACGCGTCGTGTGTAGCTGCGGAGGAAAACGACGTGAACGAAATGGAGAAAACCCAAACTATATTAGAAGAAGTAGGAGACTCACAAAATTATCAACGCTGTCCATATAATAAAAATCAAACTGATTGGACACCTACTTAGACATAATCAATTTCTCACCAATATATTTGGTGGAAAAACTATTATTTATTATCCATTTATTTACTTATTTAGACGGGCAGTAGTCCAATTGCAATGCAATTTGTAATTATACAACAGTGAGAAAACGATCAACAGGCAGACTCCAGGATGCATATTACCTTATTTCAATGACGTTTTCCAGCTTATGCGGTTCACTTCCAAACGAAGAGAGCAGCTTTTAATAGACAAACTCGTTTACACCGACAAGGCTCCGCCTTTAGAGTAGGTATAATGATAAATGTAAATAAGCACTTATAACTATTATATATATATATATATATATATATATATATATATATTTTATTTTTTATTTTTTTCGCCGACTAAGGTTCAAGAGAAAAGTATATTAGAAATTTTAATATATACCTGTACGTACAACATATTATAATGATACTAATATGTTAAATAAATGGATAATTATATTTTACGGTCTTTATGTGACAAAATACATATGTAATAATAATAACCGGTGGATAATGGAATATACCGCGACTTGAAAAAAAGAATAAACAAAAATTACCATAAAGTACAAAAGTAACGGTTCGGCGAAAATATGTCCATTGCATTACACTAATGACTCTGCAAGTAAAGAGAGAGAAAAAAAAACTGTTTTTTAGCCGTACACTTAAATTATTTCTTTTTCAACATAATATAACGAAGACTATATATAATATAATATATGGAAGTGTGGTCTATTTGCATAACTGATTTTTGTTTTGTTTTTTTTTTTTTTTTTTTTGGCTCTGGACAAGATGTTTTTTGTTTTTTTTTAGTTCGTTAGATATTTTCCTATACACATATTACATAAGTATGTAAGTACATCTTAAAATGTTTTTATACCTCGATGAAGAAAGACAAAAAACACATCTACGGTGTAGCGTATTTGAAAATTTGGTTTTTGCTAAACGAGCGGCGTACCCATGGGGGTCTGAGGATGCTGTAGACCTCTCCCCTTCCCCCCGAAATTTCGAGAAATCTCAATTACGAGTGTTGTTTTAAATATAGTTTTTTTTTATACTTAATTTGCGTTGTGTACAGCAATGTGATGTGTAATTCTGATCGACCCCCCTCCCCCCTCTCAAAGAAAAACCCCCGAACACGCCCTTGTGCTGGGTGTGCCTATGCCCGGGTACTGAAACTGCGCGCAGCGGCTTCCGTCAACGCGCGACAATAGAAAACAAAACAGGAGTTGAAATACGCGTCGACTGAATCTCCTGTACATGGTCCATGGCATATTATATTATTATTTATAAATCATTGATCCCGGGGACCATTGTCGTACGGTATCCGCCGGTCTCCATAAAAACAACATTATCTCGTAATGTTTATTTAAGACTGTCAAAACATAAATATTACTCACGATCGGCAGCGGACAATAGAAATTATATACCCACCCAACTGTAGTGTACGGCGGCCGATTGTTTATTATAATATAAAGGGACCCGGAGATATATTTTTATTTCGTGACTGTTTATTGAATATAACAACGGTATGGGCAGGTATCTTTGCGCGGCAGGCACCGTGGAGGGACGCCAAAGGGATATCATGGGAATTTTCGTACGGAATAAATGTATAAACCTCCGTACACTGTTGCGTTCTCGTATATTTTCATAGACATAATATTATTGTAGTCGGGGATTAAACTGGTGAGGGGGCAGTGTCGGGAAGACACGCGTTCATTTTCAAATATAGGAACGGGGAAACATTTCTATTTCAGAGGAATGTGAACTCACATTTCCTCTTTCTATTGAGAGAGAAAAAAATTAAACGCACGTTAGCTTAGTGATAATATTGTCTGGAAATCATCTGGTGTTGGTATCGCTTCGTCAGTTACTAATAAATCACCGCAATAGCACAAATGCATTATTTTTTCGTTTTTATTAACAAGGTACATAATATGATAATATGAACCGCGTGGTTATACTTAGATATCCGTGGTATAAACGGCGTCTCGGTGATAATTGTTTAAAATGGAAATTCTGACCACGGATTATTTATAGAGGAGGATATATAACAACAGGATCATGAATCATTTTTGATGATTTTATAATGATGTACGTTTTCTTTTAGATTCTGGGCGGAGCGAGGGATGTATTGGTTTTACAATGTTTGTTTTTAATTTTTCTATGGACAACTTGTCTACCATACATTTTGCTCCGATTTTCAAGTTTTTCTGAAAAAAAAAATTTGACTGGAGTGATATTTCACGGGAATCATTTTTTGATTTTCCCAGCTTTTTTTTTTATAATAAATGAGATAATCTGGTAAAAATAGGAAAATACTTAGGAAATACGGGATAATTTATAAAATGTATTATTTTCAAACCGTAAATATCGCATTTCAAAACATATACAACCTACCGCCACAAGATTTCTTTCTCGCGAGAGGGGACGTGAGAACGTTGGCCTTTTAGGTGCTTATTTTTTTTTTTTTTTATTATTATTATCTTTGTTGCAAATAAAATATTAATAATATTATATTTTGAAAGTAAATTAATATGGTTTTTTTAATTTTTATTTCTCAGGGTAAGAAATTAATTTAATTTATAGGATTTTAAATATTTCAATTCCAAGAAATGAAAATAGTTTATTTATTTAATAGTTTATTTACACTATAATCTTATTTATTATATATATATATAGATTTAATGGTTATCATAGCTCCTTATCTCCAACCCAAGCTGCATAAGCTTACAGTAGGTAAGTTAATCAATTCTGTAACAAATTTAATTTTGATGTATATTAAATGTTTTGTTTTTAATATCTTAATAAAAAAAAAAAGTTTCCAATTTTAGTTGACTTAATCAACTCACACTACAGCGACTACGTTTATTTGTTTTGAAAATTAGGTATCTACACAAGTGTAGAGTAACTAATGAATAACCCATAAGAACCTCTAATGTCAAATATGTATGTATTTCTATCGAAAATAAATTAGTGATGTTTCCAATAATTATTTTAAACCTATACTATAAGTATTCATAAAAAAAAAGAACGCATAAAGGAACAAGTTCCTTAAAAATTAACGATTTACTTTTTTAAATAAGGAACAGGAACGAATTTCTTTTATAAAAGAATGTTTCCAACATTGGGAAAAGGAGGGGTGAAGAGAGATGGAATTTCTCTTTATGTTTAATGTGACATTATCAGTCCCCTTTAGTTTGAATTTTTCGATGCCCGAGGGGACGGTTTAATTATTGTAACTGAGACATTTTCAATACAATTTTAAAAATTCGTATTAGTTTTATTAAAAATGAATTGCCTAATACCTATTATATGGTACATAACCATACTATATTTTGCTTTATTTTTACTGAACAATCATATGCGTAGAATATTTGAAGGAGTGTAGTCTGTTTTTAAACTTTATTAATGTAACATGTTTATGAACTAACGTCTGTGAAAGAAAAACTTATTTTAAGTATTGGGTTTCTTAAAAGTTTGGTTAGGTTTTGTGAATTTGTTAGTTCTCGGGAATGCCTCTTAATTTTCACGAAAATATGGTCTTCCTTCGGAGTTTTTCCATTTCGAACAAATAATTGCATTGCGTATAATCAAAGGCTAAATACTCAGTATTTTCCTTGTCAAATAAATGAGTGACCCTGAATCTCTGAAATTCGATAAATGTGCTCTAAAATAACATAACATAATGTCGGTAACCGCTGGCCACTAGTTTTGATATCAATACTATCAATACCGACGTTTTCTTTAACTCGAGGAACCAAACATATGACGCCGAGCAAGTCAATATATTTACTTGGGTTAAGTTAGTTGAGAAAATAAATAAACGAGCTTATATACGTTTATCGTTGTATTGATTGACAGTGTCGAGTTATAAAAGTTAATATTTTCGTTAAATTTTTATTGTCATATATGTTTAGTAAACATGATTAAACTCAGAGTTTGTGAATTTTTGAAACGCAGAAATTTCAGGAATATCGCAGGTGTACGCCATAATTTAAACACGGAACTGCACATACGAATTATAGAATTTAAAAAACTCACAATACGATGTTTATGCCGTTATAAATATTGTGTTAAAATTCAAAACAAAATTTATAATTTAAAATTAAATCGTTATTTATCAAGTAATTTATTGTTATAGCAAATAAGTCGATAGTTAACAAATAATCGAAGATTAAAAGCCAAATCTAGTGTGTTAAAATGAACTAACTTTTAACTTTTAATTCGTTATTGACCAGCCTTCCGTTTCCCCGTGAGTTTTTTCAAAACCAAGCTGTTCAAATCATTATTTTGAACGGTAATAATATTATAATAATAATATCCATTTAGTTTCTGAATAATTTTTTTTACGCGTGTTTTATTGTTGTCCTATTAAAATATTTAAACAGAAGAAATCCATTGTATCCCTATAACCTACACACATTAATAACATTAAATCATTTAATGTTAAATAATTAATCTAATTAAAAATTTAAAAATTCTATACGCCTATTGGAGAAATACTCGTTATTATAATAATATATGCAATTGATTACCTACTTTAATAAACTACTGTTTCCAAATGCGTTTATGAACCACCTATAAATAATGAGTATGGCGCAATGAATATATAACGTACAATATAATTAATAAAAAGAAATGAAAAAATTGATAAAAATTGAATTGATAAGAAAATTTTTAAATTTTTAATTAGATTAATTATTTAACACTAAATGATTTAATGTTATTATTGTGTGCAGGTTATAGGGATACGGTGGATTTCTTCTCCACAAAATAAAAGTGTCTATATATATATTCACGAATCGTTTATTATTATTAATCTACAACATTTGTTTTCTCTGTCTGTCTCGAGCGTGATACAACAAATGCATTACGCACCTCAACGATTACGACTCTTCGGTCGGGTTTAGAGCAAATGGGCAATTATTATACATGTTATAAATATAAATATTTACTATGCCTTTAACGAATGATTTTTTTTTTAAATACTTAATTTTTTTATCGAGATATGCGCGTTTCAATTAAACTAAATGTCTCACGATTTGAACTTATGATATTGTATTGGTACACAATGGTATTGTGATATGAAAATATTAATAAAATCATTCGGTCAAGTTTTATAAAAAAAAAAAAAACAAAGAGAAAATTATAATAAGTCCCTTTGTCCTAAACTCAACCGTGAGAGTAGCAATCGCCGAAGTACGGAACACTTTATTTTTGCTATAACTCTACCAGCGAGACAAACAGAAAAATAAAACTACATCTGTATACATTAAACATAAAATTGTGTAAAATTAAATCTGCGGGTATTTTTTTATTTTGTTTATTATAATTCGAAAATTTCAAAAATAATCTGTTGTTAAAATATGCAATAATAGTAATGATAACAATAGCCATTCGCCGCGTAAATAAACTGAACCTACCGACACGGGATATACTGGATTAATTAAAAAAAAAAAAAAAACAAGAAACAATCGTTTTCTTGTATTTAAATAATTGTAAAAATAATAAAAAAATATTAATAACGACCGTGCAGTCCGCGAGTACGCTATAATATTATACTAACGTGCTCTCCGGTGGTTACAATATAAATAATTTATGAGTCCTAAGTTAATAAATGTAACCGATGTTACGTGTCGCCTATGACATTGTAATCAAATTCAATAGGTGTATGTCGAAATTGACATTTCTAAAACGGTTCACACCTAACACCTATGCGACAATATGCGATGCATATTAACCGGAATGTGAAATTGGTGTCTTTATCGTATCGGGCGTAGCGCCTTAATAGTAGTAATTAATTTAGCGTCGACAGCAAAAAAAACCGTCTACAGGAATCTAGGATAACGTATTGTTGTAAATAATGTTCCTATACAACACCTCGATTTCATACCACGTTAAAACCTCGGTGATATTCATAATCGTGTACCGAAACTTTTCAAAATGTACATGCTATAATACACGGAAACGCATACGAAACGCCGACAAAACGAGTAAATTTGTTCAGGGGTGCGGTTGTATTTTTTTTCATAAAAATAGAATTAAACACGCGTAACAGCACGGCAATGTTATTCGCCATCATTTATCACCGGTAAAATGTGAGAAACTCTGTAATAATAACGAATAAGTTAAACCGTCCGATTTTCCAATTGGTTTCATCGCGTTTCATGCGCGATTATCGGGTGTACAATATACGAATTAGTTACACCAGTTTATACAGGCCACCGTTTATAGGGTAAACGTATTACATGAATAGTTTTTTTTTTTTTTTGTAAAATAAAAATAATCGTTCTTGTATAATCGAAAATCGGTGATGTCTTATTATGTAACGGTATAATGACAGTACGGATGGCTTAATCATTTGTCATCTTTTACACCACCACCGGTTAAAACTCCCATCATCAACACCGACAAAACGATTACGGTGTTATTATTCTAAAAGAATTTTCAATATCAATTATTAATATTATGGTACGCCGTGCATGAGCATGACGCTGGAGAATGTACAGTGTAACGTAACGAATACGTAGGTACGGTATATTTTTTTTTGTTCACCAGATGTTTGTTTAAAAAAAATCGGTGGAAAAATCGGAAATATTACTCGAATGGTTATCGAAATTTCAGTTCTCTGCACTTTTATGGGCTTTTACACAATTCACTTTTCAGGGTGGAAAATCCGAACGTTTTAAAGTACGGATTGAATTTTTTAGTGATTCAGTTTTACTGAGTATTTTTCTGAAAAAATAAAAACGTATAACATGTCTGTGAGAATTACTCTCCGTAATAGAATATTTTATATGTACATATTTTTCCTGATATTCAAATCAAAATGTAGTTTTTCGTATAAAACAAGATTCTGATGTGGTTATTATTACGTACCTACTCTAATCCTTTGTGGCACACATTCATTTTTTTTGAAAATCAAATTTCGATTCAAAACGGAATTCCCTTATCTTTATATATTTTTTTTTTTTAACACGTATACGCAATAGAAATTTAAACCAGTATTTCGTTCATCAATCTGACCTATGCGCGATGCAGCGTAAGAGTTCTGAAAACAGATTTTCAGAATTCAGCGTGAAGTGTACGTAAGACCGGTTGAGCTATTATGTATTTATTTATTATTTTTTTTTTTTTATAACATTTTTATAGATATTCAAATTGAAAATTAAAGACTCAAAAAAGAGGCCTCGTGTACATTCAAATCTGTTTCCAAAACTCGTATAGCTCCTGTATATGGCATATCGGACGTATACTGTGGGACGGACAACTTAATTTGGTTAGTGTAGATGAGCGTCAACCGTATTTACGTATAAGACGCATAATATTATGTTGAATGGTAAAACTTGTGGATTTAAATTAAGTTTTTTTTTTTTTTTTTTTGTTATTCATTTTATTTTGTATTTTTTCAATAAATAATTATTTTTAAAACGTACCTACTATTTTTATTTTCCCATTGGTCATACCGTGTTTTTAATTTTACAATATTCTCTCTTCGCACCCTTTACCCACGGCATTTTCACACACGTTTGGTCTTCAAGGGGGTGGTAAATATAATAAGGTTGAGATACAGAATTAGTCTGATGGAAGAAAATTTTGGTCTAAATTTTTCATGTCGCATATTATATATTGGAGTCTGACAGTTAGATTGAGAAAGATAAATGGACGTCCAGTTCGTAACGAATAACCGTGAAGAAAAACTAACAAATACAAACAAAATACTAGGAATAGATGATTGTAGAAACGTACGAATGGTGTTAGGTACAACAATATAATAACATGTTTACGTCACACCTACGTGGACGCATTCGGAGCCGTATAGGTGAGGAGTACCGACTATCAAGTATCACTCGTGGCGGAAATTTAAAGTGTAAGTACCTACGACGTGTAAAACGATGTTGAAAAACGCCGCCACCCATGCGATAATAATCTTCGACGTGCGCACATATTTTGTACTTACTCAAAAAAAAAAAAAAAACAGTAAAATCGTTCCACCGAAACGGGGCGTTTCTTTTTCAAAAAATCGTAATTAAACACCCGTTATTACAGGTGTTTGTTTTCTATTAATTTCATTACGTGACCGGTATTCCGATTGTAATGTACGCATTATATTATTATTATTATTATTATTATTATTGTTATTATTTTTGCCCACCTATTGTACAGGGTGATTCTTTTACTGTGAAACACCGACTATATAATATCTGTATGATACGACGGGTTTGAGCGAAATTTGATTTTATATGCATTTCTTTTATTTTTTTTTTTATTCACTGCAGTCGTCGTTGTTCAACAATTGAGTTTTGAAAAATGCGGATTGCTGAACCATAATGTCGATAGGTACGCGTGATTATGATGACGATAATTACACCGGACACGGGACAAATTCGGAAAACATATCGTACAGTATCCACGAGGAAAAACAAAACTGACGATTGTGCAACGACGGATGAATGTAGGTGTAGATACCAATCGAAATTAAATTTGAAGAACTCTGTGCAACAGCTAGGCAAGTCGAAAGTGGCATTTTAATAGTTTCGAGTAAAGCAATAAATGTAATCCGTAATCCGGCGCGGCGATATAACAATATGACGCGAGTCCGTCTACTATTTTTCGCGTGGTGAAAATAGCGATGAGGACGTGTCCGGCTCGACCGGACTCCGGGAAATAAGGATTCAAGTCCCGCCGGTCGACTGTTTTGCTTTTTACTAAATAATTTTGAACAGTAAACACGTCTGGTTGTTGCACCGAGCCCTTCGTTTTCTCGAGATCGCTTCGCGTGGATATAACAAACGGTTCACGATAGACAGATCACCCTGTATGTCGGTCCGCACGTAAATATAGCTTTAGCGTACACAAATTTATTGTAATATTAGTCCGCCCGCTCGCGCTCGCGAATGATCCCGTCGAGTTTCCACGTAATAATTATTCAATCGGTCGGACCAGAACCGACAGAGACTATAATAATATTATTATTGTCTAAATACAAACGCGTTCACATAAAGATGTATTCCCGTCACGATATGGGCCATTTAAAGTTTTTTTTTTTTTTTAGAACATTGTTTTCCGGAGTATCTCGAATTATAACGATTCGCCGCTTTAAATGTGTTATCGCGTAAATGTATTATCGTGTATCGAAAAATTCACTGTCGATATTTTACAATGGCGATGCGGATATCGAAACGTATCAGCCTCGACTCGTCGTATCGCCTGTCAACGAACAACGTTTTTCTATTACATCGTTTGGACATATCTGATCAATATTAAAATCATAAATGTATGATTATTACACTGTGTTACGATTTGTGTAAATTACGTGGCAAATATATTCCAGAATAAAAATTTAATATACATTCATATTTTAAGAAACGTAATTATACAAAAAAAAAAAATAAAAAATAATTTGTTTAAAAAAAAAAAATGTTTATGAACATTATATTATACGTATTTTGATTTTTCTATAAAATAAAATATATCGATGGAATACCACTAAAAATAATCAAGAATTCAATTGAATTCATATTTGGGAACAGACGATTGTGTAAACGGATTTTGTTTGTACGTGTAGGAAGGTACATATACAGGTTACGTTAAAATGAAATTCCGTTCTTTGACAATATAGAAGGCTCAGATATTTCCATAATAAACAATCGCGTTAAGGGGAAAAAAATCACGAAATTCCACATTGGTATGATTGAAATCGTAATTTGTATTGAATTTAATCTGACTCTCCAGATATAGCCCGAGTTAAAAGCTTTGTATTTTTATTTATTTATTTATTTATTTTTTTCAGAGATGAAGGCTTAACATAATAATAATAATATTTTAAATAATCAAAGTATTAAATAATTACCTTTCGGGCCAACACATCGATTCGTCTCTGTACCTGAAACGAATAAAACACATTATCAATAACGTTTTCGGACAGTGAAATTGTAAATATAAATCATATATACTTGTTGTTCATAATTATACAATAAAATAAATATAGTAATTAAATGTATAAATAAAAAAAATGTACGTATAAAAATAAAAAATAAATACATGAATGAATGCGTCGCCTGGAGTGCATTACATGCATACAAGTGTATTGTATGATAAGTGTAGCATACACGACCGGTTTCGAATTAAAAATTCATCATCAGGTATATCACAGTCAAAATGTAAAACGCGACTGAAAATAAAAAAATTAAACGAAGGAATTCGTGGAAAAAAAAATTGGTCGTTTTACATAGAAATAATTTATTTTAATACGAGAGATTATTTAAAATGGATTATCATTAGATATAGACATGTTAAGAAATATTAAACTATTTGTTTATTATTTATTATCTAAAATGTATTGATGTAGGATATTATTTTTAAAATCGGTTTGTACATTTAAAAAAAAAATAATAATAATAACAACAACAATTATAATAATTATGTGATTTTATAACAGCATGTACCAAATATTATCAACAACAAAAAAATCAACTTTCTCTCGTACCGATTATGGGCATGAGTGCAATGCCATAAATGAAATAATCCTAAATACACATATTATTTATACGTATTACGATGCGATAGACAATTTTTGTATCAAATCAGTTTTATTATCAATCAACATAATTAACATATTTACATATTATTTAAGTAAGTAGGATAAAAAAAGATAAAATTATGAACACAATATATAAATCTATTTTATTTTAAACCAAACTAAGTTAATATTTTCTTTTTCTTTTTTTTTTTTCATCATCAGTTATTTATCTCTATTAACTTGCTCATATTCGGTCAAGATTTTAAAATAAATTTGATGTATAGGATGGCCCTTATTTTACGAATTTCAAAATTGTCTTTGTGACACCCGTCTATCTAGTGCCATATAATAAAAAAAGAATATCCTCAAAGTTTGAGGCTATTTGGTTAATACTTAGTGGAGGCGCGTGGCGTTTTAATATTTAATAACAATAAAATTGCATAAAATCAATGAAAATAGTATACAGACGACCATAGATGGTTTAGAACTGTTTTTTTTTTCAAATAAAAAACGATAGACTAATTTTAATCCTAAGATCTTAATGTCTCTTTTGATACCGCATACACAGAGATTAGATTGTTCAAGAGTTTCAGAAATCTATTTCTAAAAAAAACCTAAACTATTCTATCTTAAATTAGTTTAACTAAAAATATTTATAAAGTACAGTCTAATCAAATTCAGTTTGTTAAACGTGTGAAAAGTTGTAAACTTTACAGCTTATAGCTTTAGTACTTACATATATATGCTATCATAAATTTAAAAAAAAAAAAAAAAAGAGAGGCCCTTTTGCCATACAATTTATTTGTTGATATTGGTCTTCGGTTATAGGCAATAGTTTCCAAAATTTAAAAAGGTATACATATTCATAAATCGATTGACATTCGTGTTTTGAACGAAATCCGTTTAAGATTCTGAAAGAGTGAGAGATGACACTTATTATAAACCATAAGAGTTGCCAATATTTATTGTAATAGGAAAACTGTAGATGCAACACATAGGACAAACTCTGTTTTTCGTTATTTATTTCGTATTAGGTTTATTGTTGTTCGGGATAATGGATTTTCCATGGGAATTTCGAACGTATCGTAATTCTATACTCAACATTTCCCATATTTCGTCCGAGACCTGACTTATTGTCACAGTAGTTACGGCAGGAAAACTGCTTGTGCATAACGAGAGTTTAAAACTGGGAAAAATATCGTAAAAATATTTATAAAGAGCCAACACATCGGGGATAAAATTGAAATTGTAATTCACTTTCGACCATTTTTACTCGTATATATTATATTTTACTCGCGGGGCACACGTGTAATATAATATAATACAACATGGAAAAAAATCACAGACACTTTAAAACACTTGCCACCGATGCCGTAAACACGTGTCGCCGCGAGAGAAACACTGCAAGAGCAATATTTCCTATCTGTTTATGTGCTGCATACATTTTTTTTTTTTTTTTTTTTAAGAGATGGGGGTGGTTTATATAGGCGATATTACACACCCCGGTGTACTTATTATTATTATCATCAAACGCACACGCGTAGTAGGTATGCGTATGTTATGTGTGTACATCTCGTTATCTCTGTACGAGAATCTCGCGGGTGTCCAAAAAACCGACGATTTATTTTTATTGCTCATCGATTACAATCTGACTGCACCGACTGCAGCGGTATAGGTAACGGATTGGGCGATAATTCATATAAACACACACGAGCACACCGCCGATGTTTTAATATTTCGTACAGTATCAAACATCTTGATTTTTAATAATAATATTATTGTTGTTGTACAAACCACACGACACGTGTGCGTGTTGTGGGGCGAGGGAAATTCGACACAACTTTGGAAATTAATTATACCGCGCAGTAACTGCAGCAGCGCATACCCGAGTCCACCGTGTGTGTGTTATGGACCTTAACGATTGTTTTAATCGTTGTTCGATTGCAGCGTGTATGCGAGAGGGTGCATATGATTCCCCTCCCTCAAAAAAACTATTTCGACCGCGGCAAAAGTACCTACAACTACCTGCTTACACGATCGCGTGCAAAAAGAAAACCGAAACGTTGTCTGCCGTTTTCATTTGTTTTAAATACGAGGGTTTTGAGATTCTGTGTTATTTAGCTGAATAAAAAAGAATGTGTATATTTACTGGTGCTTGCGTTTTCTACGTTTGTTTAAGATGACGTGTCACAACGTTACGCATTTGCAGTCTCCGTCTTACAAACGCGCGAATTTTCAAATAAGCGAATTTGCGTTCAAAAAAACTAAATGTTGTGCTATTATACAGTTTTACTATTACAGTAAATTTACCTGTTATTTACGGTTTTTTTTTTCTGGTATTTTAATTTTTAAATGAGATATGGGTATTTTAAATTTTGTAAAACATCATACGCTCATATCTCGCTTGCAAATTAAAATAACAACTAATGTAAAAATAATGTTTTTCCGTTTTGAGTTTGATGATAATAAGTAAATTTACTCGATTAGTTAACACAAAATTAGTTCTGCTGAACGCAAATTTACTACGTTTCGCGTAAATATCTGACCGAGACCACAAATGCACGTGTAGCGTCTTTTTAAATATTATTTTTAATGTAAAAAAAAAAAAAAAATGTTAATAATTGTGATATTTTGACCAATGTCTCAATTTCTTCTCGTATTAGAATGTGTGTTAAATCTCGTATGAAATACGAACATTTAATGTAATAATGCATACTTGAATAATATAATTTACTCGTAAAATGTCATATAACTTGTATATCAGCCTGCTTTAGTAAAAAATTATACGTTCGATAAAAAATAAACTACAACAAACTGTGCATCATTGGAAAAATCGATTTTCTTTATACTCTTACAACTATTTTCTCATCAAGCCAATTACCTGAGGGACTAAAGTTCTACGGCGGCGGTGCGGGGGGAGAGTACAGCCATGTATTATACAGTTAGGTATATATTTATATACACAACTAATGTTTTATAACTTTTCCAATAGCGTCAGACACGAGATAATATAGGCGGTGTATGTAAAAAAAAAAAAAAAAAAAATCGGTAGCACAGTTTATTCCCAATTCCTCGGGGGCTTTTCGACGAGTGTAAAAAAAAAAACCCTCGAGTCATTTTTTTTCAGCTTTAAAAATTAATCCCATTAAAGCGAAGACTCCGTAGCTCTTGTTGCGCAGTAGGGCGGCGGGTAAGTATAGTGACGTCTTTGCCGCGCCTGCGGTGTATATAATATATTCATGCGGGTTTCTCTTTCATAAGCACCTCTGATATTTTCGAAATATGCACTCCGCTGTCGCCCCCGGAGTGATTTGCATTACAGAAGAAAAACAATCTCGAGTAAATCCGATACTGAGGGGTGTTAGACGAACACACGCTCTTGTGCGCCACTATACCAACGAGTTTTAAAGCTCCGCGGCAAAGTGCAATTTCGGTGTATGGAACAAGACGCGCGCTGCGTGGCAGCACGGCGGCGGCCACATGTGTTTTGAATTTTCTTTGATTTATGTACGTGTATTATTATTGGTACACGTAGAATATTATAATATGATATGCGGCAGGTTAACGCGAGATTCTCGTATAATTTACTCGTAAAACATATTTTCGGTCCCGGGGAAGAAGGGCCTAAGTCAATTGTTGGTGGCGTGTTTCTTTTTCTTAGTAATAATTGTGCCATATGCAATTTTTTTCCCCGATATTTTTTGTTCTCGATCGCATTAGTGTATCTACGTGTGCCGTATGTATTCCAACACGACAATAAACAACGACAATTCAAATATTTTAAGACACTACGGTATATTTTTTGTTTTGCGAAAAAAGCATAATTCATATTAATTATAATACGTCAAAGGCATTTAGAACATCTGCATTTAAGTTATTTAGCAATTATATGCCATTATGTCGTTTAGAAATGTTTAATATTTAATTTTCTAATATTGAAAACTATACGAAATTGTCTTAAGCCCTTCTTAATACTCGGAAAGTTCCTTTCGACAAGAAATTCGTTTACGTTCATCTTGCTAAAATGCTAAAATAAACTGCAGACTTTTTTAACAGACTTGAAGTAAGGGATTCGTTTAAATTCCTCGTTCCTAACAAAAGAACTTTATCGGTTTCTTAAATAAAAATAAAAACCATTAATTTGTATATATTTTTTAGATTTTGAACAAAGCGAAGAATATATTAGTTTTAAAATGATGTATTTTTTCATTTTTACATTCCGAGTGCATAATTTTTTTATTGTATTTATCAACAATTTTCCTACCAGAAATATTACTCTAATCAAAAAATTAATAGGAACTTGACATAATAAATATAAATCTAGTCGGTGTATTGAGAAAATAGGTTTTTTTCCGTTTTCATTTTCTTAATAAATAGAAAAAAACTAGCTATTTTTCGTATAATTTTTGACCGCGAAAACAAGGAAAAATAAATGACTATAAATTAGAGCTGACTTTTCACGCTTACACGCATTCACGTGAAATTAACATTCGAGTCTATAAAACAGTGTACTTGAAAAACCCATGTGTACACGTCTTTGCGTATTTTAGTCTTTTAATATTTGCTTTAAACTCACAACATTGTTAACTTTTTAAAAATTTTAATCAATTTAATAACAAAATAAATTATAACAAATAGTACGTCCGTGTTCTCCCCTGTACAAATATCCGTGAACACGCGAATTCGGTAGCACGACGAAACGAGCTCCTTTGAATCCGGTTCCTTCCAGTCTCATTGGGTCCTTCTTCGCCGGAACCAAAAATAAAAAACCAGAGGTTATTGTAGACGACAACAGTAATGATATTCACAAACCTAATATTGAAATATCGGTTCTCGTACGTTGTAATCAGACGGGTATAATATTAATGACATCACCGAAAAATAGTGAACCGGCGCGGCGCGGCCGTTATCGGTTCGGCTCCGCCACCCCGGTATATTTACGGTATTCGTTATTATTATTTTAAATTCAAAAACTATAATCTGAAACGGTCGCTTACATCGTGTTGTTTATTGTTCTCCCGCCGTTTTCCGGTTGCCCGTGATAACATTCGTACATGGCGCGGGCGCAGTGGCGGACCGGAAAATTCGAAACACCAACCCGTTTCTCGTATGTACGCGGATCGATACAACAAAGGCCCGCGCGTTGCGTCGTACGAAATATTACTTATTGTCACGTTTAAACCGTTCGCGTTGAACTTTACGGAAAAACGTCCGTTTCGTCGTATCTCGTCACGGAATGCCGTTAACGGTGGCGGCAGCGGAAAAACATCTGTGTAGGTGCACGTCTGTCGTTGCAAAACTAAAAGCTCACCCACTCCATATATATATACACACTCGCGGATGAATATTACGTAAACCACGGATCGTGTGACCTGCCGATAAGAGAATAACAGTAGGTACGTTACGATTGATAAAGTAACGGTAACCACATTAATGATAATGCATTATGCTATATTTTCGACGGGCTGCGTTTTAACTATACAGAGCGTCCCGCGAAAATATACCCATCGCAATATCTCCCGGGATAATAAAGATAATCGAATTCTGTTTTGTTTTTGTTGTTGTTTTTTTTTTTTTTTTTTTGTTTTATATATATATATATATATACTATTCACGGGGATAAAGACTACAGATGTAAACACAATTATTTATATATATATATATATAAATTAAATTTTTAGATTTTGATAAAATAACTTTTTATTTTATTATTTTCGACGATTTGAAGATAGCCATTTTACGGAGTTCGTTCTTCTTGGACATTTTGGAGTTACAACAAATTCATGGCTTTTAATAATTTTTTTTAAGCGCAGAGAAAAGTATTTGTGATCATGTAACGGGCTATAATCGCATTCGACAATTGATTATTATTATTATTATTATGGCTAATTGATTGTACATTTTTATTTCTCTGAATTTTAAATAATTATTAAAAATCACGAATTTAACAAAAATAAAAAGCTGACAAGTCAACATTTTCAGACGAATAAATTTTGAAAAAATAGCTATTTTCAAGTTTTTTTTAAAATGGTAAAATAAAAAGTTATTTGTTTGTTTTTACAAAAACATAAAAAAATTAATTGAAATATTAATATGTGTAGTCCTCATTCCTGAGCCTCTGTGAGTAATGCATAAAAAAAAAAAAAAACAACACAATTCGATTATCTTTATTATCTCCAGAGATATTACAACGGGTACATCTTCGTAGGACACCCTGTATAACATTTTAAACTGTGAAACATAAAATATTATGAATTTGATAAAATGTAAAATGGAGTATTATGAAATTTAATAAGACTCTAAATTAATGTGCCTACAGATAACCAATAGCAATAACGTCTACGTGTATACGTGCAATATAACTAATCAAATTTCAGTAAGTAACTGAATATTTTCATCCACTATAGTATGTACCGGGCACATTATGAATCGAAATATTGGTATGATTGGGGCAGATATTCAAGCGCCGTAAAAAAAAAAAAAAAAACATTTAATTATAATGTACGCGATTGTGCGATAAAAATGCCAAGATATGCCCTTAAAAATACGTTTCAAAAAAAAAAAAAAAATGTACGGATTAAAAGACGCCATGTCGTTAACAAATCGGAAAACCCATAACAACCAACTTTGGCGAAACTAATCAATAAACAATAATATTCCATCTAAAGCGCGGGCGCCCACTAATATTATAAGCTTTCTTGCCGAATTATTTTTGCGATGCACAATCCGCCGAGTTGAAAATGTCTTAAAAATTACGTGCCCGTACTTGGCCTAGCCATCATGTCGTGACACGAGTTCAATCCTACACCGACATTTAGCGAGAATTCGCGAGCTCACCCCCGGAATTCGTGAGTCGTTGCAGCTCGCGGGAAATACGCAAAACAATGTGGGCGGGCCAAGATAATGCGGCTCATCCGCTTGGCGCCAACACTTTGAAGATGGTACAAAACGGATTCCTATTAGTTCACGAGGATGATTCGCAAGTCCATTCCCGACATCTGCAAGTCAACCGTTTCGCCACAACAGGCTTTCGGGGTTCTGAAATTTTATGTCGATTAAGAATAAAAAGTGCCGCGCGCCATACTATCGTAGACGCCGCACGGTACAATTCGATTTATAATGTAAAATTAAATTAAAACTAGTTAAAATAACGATACGGCAGTTAATTTATAGTAATTATCAATACAGTTCGATAATCGTTATTGTTTTTTTTTTTTGAAAATATTTGGCTAGAACGTAAATGTTTAAAAACCTCTGCTAGGTACATAAAATCATCTAGGTATATCGATTGTTATTAATCAAATTTCGTACGGTCATGCGGCACATCGTTTCGTTTCAGCGGACGGGGGGGGGTGGTACGATTGACCCGGTTGCTCTCTCCCTCCCCCCTCATTTTTGTATCCGCCCTCGACTCGGAATCCGATTTCGACGATCGATCAGAAATCCCGAAAATACTGTCGGTCTGATAATGTCGAAAAAAACAAAGCCCGCGGTCTCTCCAGGTGTACTATATGTATACATATATACATTTATTTTTCGTCTCGGACATGATCATATTATTTTCTAATCCACACGAAATTATTGAACAACACAGGCATCGGTTATTATTATTATTGTGTTTTCGAAAAAAAAAATGAAGATAAATACTCGGTAACGTACCTTTGTTGTACGTATATCTGTATACGTGTAATATTACAATAATATATGTGCGGTGGATAATGACGGAAACGTCTCTGCGTAGCGTTTGTTTTTTTTTTTTTTTCCTTTTTTTATAGTGAAGGTGGGTCCGAACACCTCGGTCGAAAACCGCCGAGTTCGGAACAGCGTCCAGCAGTCTGTCTGAAGCCGAAAAAACATACGGACGCAACAGAAATATAATTATCGGTTATGGAGGACCGCAAATTATACCCGGGACAGACGTTGTATAAAGTGTACTCACACATATCGCGGTACAATGGAGTACCTAAATAATTATTACCGTACGTACAATCCGAATTTCCCACCTCCGGGACCGTGGATTATTGTAATCATTCGGACAGAGTCATTGTTTTTTTTTCTTTCTATACTTACGTGTATTTTTTTCCCTTCCTCCACCGCCGCCACCCCCCCCCCCCCCCCCCCCCCCCCACTCCCCACTCCCAACGTCATTCGACGTACATACGTGACGGTTTCTTTCGTTTCGTACGTACCTATTGGTGCTCGTCGTGACCGATCCGCAGGTGTACGGTACGGAATATTATTATTATACCGATGCGCGCGTTTCGGCGTTACGATAATAAATGCTCTTGTACGTATACACCCAGGACCGAACCGCGTGTGTCGGGAAAAAAATATTGTTGAGTACATGCCATGCGCGCCGTAATAATATTTACGATCAAAAATCGAATTCGCCCGTTAAACATAATCTCGGTCGTTGTTTTGTATTTGTATTTTTTTCTCTTTGGTCCGGTAATATCTCGATTTCGGTATCTGTAATAGAATAAAGCGTGTGTACTACGTATTATACGTATATATGTGTGTGTGTGTGTGTGTGTGTATTTTTTCGTTTTAGCAAAACGACCTTACACCCACTCTATTCGGTGGTTAAACCGATAGTTAAAACCGATCGCCGCTGCGACCGAGTCAAGTGTTTGTATCGACCGGAGACTGGACTCGGTGTCGCATAATTTATAATAAAACGTGTACAGTTTCAGGGAACGGGACCGCCGTCGGAGTGTATACTTCCGGTCGCGTTCGTCCATGCCGCGGCGGATTAACTGTACCGGGGGACAATTGGGAAGCCGCGAGAAATAAACGCGTCTACGGGAATACGGCCGTTTTTCACCGTGAAAAAAATTTTGCGTACGAGCCGGGGAATTCGTCGCCACGGGGTTCCGGCGGAGAACGAACAGAGTTTTCCCGGTTCGCGTAACCGACAAAAACGTAACCGTTTCACGAACGGGACTGTGGAAACGCTGTCACGTTTCGTCAATTGGCCGCCGGTATTGTCGGAAATGCACGCGACTCGATACGAAACGCGACGGCCGGACATTTAATAACGACGAAACTAATGGTAACCTTAAACACGATTGTTGAAATACGAACCAACTTGACTACTTTAATTTTTTTTAGCTATTTATTAAACAATAAAATAATTTGTACACGTGATATATTTCTATTTTATTACGCATTTATTATACATGTCGGTTATAAATATATTTTAAAACACATAATGAGACCGCACTCAAGCGGATTATTATCACAATAATACACTGTTACAACCAAATTTACGACAATTTAATCGGGAAAAAAATTATAATATTGCATCATATTAGGTATAATGCGTTAAAATCATACGGAATTTTAATTAAATCGATAATTAAAATTTATTTATTTATTTTTTTTTTTTTTAATGATTTTAACTTGATGGGATCGACCGCAGGTCGTTGTGAACTATGGTTTCCGAGAACGGCTGACAGTAGATGCCCATATGAATTATACTAATGTACATAATATTACTATAACATAAAAACAATCGTGTTCCGTTAAATTCGTTATAATTGAATATCATTTGATCGATCACATGTTGACAAAAAACAGTTATTCGATATTTTTTTTTGGTCACCGAGTATGTGAAACGCGAATTTGCGGTTTTTACACCGTCCCCCCAGCGTTAACGTTGAATAATACAAACACGAGAAATGCCAATCGAGAGGTGCACTCCACTGAATGACATAAATTAAAGTTAATTCGAGCAAATTCAAATGTCTGAAACTTGTCAGTTTCATTTTATATTCGCGATTGACATTATCAAAGTTGGGCAAGCCACTTGTTCGTCCGCAGTGAACATTTACATTTCAATGCAGCTTAGGAGAAGAAATTTAAAAGAAGCGTGTCTCGCCGAACTTTTGTCGTACGTCCACAGCGGGGTACCCAGCGACATTACGAGAAAACATGTCCGCGGACCCGATCCGAGTGTTCACGAATCACACCCGACTCGTGTTTAATTCAAGCGATCGAATCTCTCGAGCCTTCCACGGTGTATACCGGTGCGCGCGGTCGGACGGAAAACGCCATTATACTTTACGGCGTACGCGGTTTGCTTACATTGATAGGGTTTAAAATATCGTAGTATATTTGTGTACATTCGATTCTGAGTTTGGCGTTGAATGTATTGGTTTTACAGAGATGTATATTTTTGTTTTTTTTATGTGACACTTTTTCCACCAGAAAGCTTATTCTGATTATAGCATCTTTTCTGAAAGGAAATGTTCTCTGGATGGTACTTTAAACGGATCATTTTTTGAATTCCTTATTAATATTCGAGATAATGAGATAAACCTGGTTCTTTAGGTTAAAAAAGATTGAAAGTTTAAAAATAAGGCTGTTATCGGCAACCGTTTTTACTTATTTGTTTGTTATTATTGAGTGTTTATTATTTTAATCTTTTTTAAATAATCATTGCTGTCACGGAAACGCACATTGTTGCAATCATTTTTGCCATAATATGACGTATAATATATTGTTGAAAAAGCAAGACGATCAACCGAACTCCGTTCGGCATCATTTTTCGGTTAGTAACGGTTCATCGTTACATACATTAAATGCATCCCATCTGTGTATCCCACCTTCCCGACTTTCCACCCACAACAGTGGCTGCACCCACGTGCGAAGTATGTCCATCCTTTTTTTTTTTTTTTTGGTTCTCCCCCCCCCCCCCACCTCCCCGTTCGGAAATCCCGGCCGCGCCACCGACAGTATTCGCGTCTTTACGGGACCGACCGCAATGACGGCCGACGGCCAAGCCCTATAAACAGACGCGTTTGCTCGGGACCAGTTTTCGAATCTCGTTTTCCGTAATGGTTTATCTGCGGTTCGTGTTTGCAGAAAAAAACCGCGGATAATATTACGCGGACATACAAAACGCGCGTTGGTTTTTTTTTTTCTTCTTCTTCTTCTTCTTCTTCTACTTATTTACCTCGAATTTTCCGTACCTACATTTATTTATTATTTTTTTTTCACTTCTCCCGGTTCGCGACATCCCAAATAGGGCCTGATCGTGTTAATTATCCGTATATCTGCTGCGCTGCGAGAGACACAAACGGGAGTAATTAAAAATCCGTGACGCGACATAATTGAAACCGAAACGGATTAACAACAATAGCCAGACGGCCGTACGCACTCGTCGTATATAAGACACGTGTCCAATAAAGAATCGGCGGATAGAGGTACTCCCCGATCTTCCGATACTGGAGATTTTTTTTTTTTTTCGATTTTTTTTTCATTCGGTCGTTCGATGTCGCGAAGAGAGGAAAAAAAAATCGGATAGCGGCGGTATGCGATTTATATAACATAACCATTTGTGGGACCCAAGAGCCCGTAGGCAATCGACATGTTAAAACAGTATACTGCAAAAAGAAACGTGTATATTTTTTTTTTTTTTCCCCCCTGTAAAATTTTTTTTTTTTTTTTTTTTTTTTTTTTTTTTTTGAGGTCACCTAGTTTATGCATACAATGGGGGACTCGGAGACATATTTGTGTGTCTTCCTGACGCTTTGACGAACAACTGACGCGGTGACAAGTGAGATCGAAAATATAGGACGAGTTTATATTATTATATTGGTCGGTTCGTAAACAGGAGTCGTTAAAAGCAACGCTTAGCACCGCTCCAGACACAGGTATATTTTCATTTTGATTCGAAATTCGCAACTAAACGTCGTCGGTTCACAAATAATTTGAATTCTATCTGGGGAGTACACGCAGCATAATAACGTATTACGAATAATATAACAATTGAATAGGTACGTAATAATAACAATAATGATAATACTATTCAAATCGTATACACACGTAAACACACATAATATTTACCGTCGAGTATAATTGTACGGTGCCTTTGTATAAATTGTATAAAAAAAAAAAAAAAAAACAATATAATTATTACTATCAGCCGTATAGTATTGTGCACAACTGTTAATTAATTTGCGACGGTCCCGACAGAAATACGATTCCCCCCCCCTCCCCGACTAATGATTAGTGTTCAGCGTTTAAACGTCGATACGTGCCGTACGTCTCGGATTCGTGTATTATCGTTGTTTCGTTAAAAACACGATTAGCCGATAATCGCAATTGAATTTCTGTCCGGCTACGGAACAACGCGATAGGTGTGCGATAGGTAGGTACGCGTTAAAAAAACTACAGTTGTTCGGCGTGACCCCCGCAGAGTTATTTCGACGGATTTATTAAAAACACGTCCACAGGATGAAACGCACAATGTATACACATACGTGATCGTATTCATTTATACAGAAACTATTAAACGTACGTGTGTCTATGAGACTATAAACACCATACGTTTATAAAGACTAAAACTTTGGAAAACTGATTTAAGGAAAATTTACATAGTTGAATAAAATAAAAAGCCAGGATATTTTTCTGTATTACTAATATAGGCTCCGCTGTTGTGGGTGGGAAGTCGGCAATATTTATCGGATTTGTGTACGGGTGCGCTAAAAATTATCGCAAACGAAAAACGATTCTAAAACTGAAAAGTTGTTTTAAACAACGCGTATTAATTTCAAACTACGAAATTAATCAAACGATTTTTCGTAAGTTATTAAATTTTTATTTCGATTTTAATCACCGGTAAATGCCAACATGAAAATCTGTGCACACATACAAAAATAAAAAAGCGCCAGAATATTTTTCATCGAATTACAACACGAAAAGACAGAACCGAAATCAACAGAAATCGTTGTTCCGTAAATATCTCCGTCTTTTAGACGGTTTTTTTCCCCGTCTTCTCTCATTATTATTATTAGGAAAAGTGCGGCGTACCAAAGAAATTCGAAATTCGAAAAGGTAATCACTATAGAGTATTTTATCTGAGCAATATTGCTGAGCAAAAAGTGGTCCAAAGGCAAAAACCATAAGAATTATTTTTATAAAACACTTAACACAGTGAAATCAATTATTTCTAGCTTCGCCCAGAATCTAAAAAACTATAACATTATTATGCCTATTACATTATAGTTTCTTTTACACGCATTTTACGAAACTACAAAGTCCCCGGGGCGAAAATAAACGATCTCGAGTTAACGGTCAATCAATTCATATCGTTTGACATAAAAAACCAATAACATGGATTCAAAACGATAGGTTTCCGCGTTTTTTAACGGATAATCGATATGGCTACGACGCGGATAAATATCGGGTAATGGTTTATGGCGTGTTAAATCGCATGTTAACGGCCGTTCCTAAGTCCTTATACAGTCCTTTTAATGCGGGGTGTCTGAGCAAAAGCAGTTTTTGTGTTCAAGTACGGAATAAAATTTAAAGACCGAGATCTCACATCCTCGCGTACACAACAGCTTTATCTCACCTATAATGTATACCATCTTGCAGCGTTTACATTGTGTTTTAATTATTTCGAACCCTTATAAGACGACGTTATAAAACTCTGTATAAACTATTTTTATTCGCAATCTCGAAAAATATCGTTTTTTATACCTAAATCGCACGCGAATCTCGGTAGCGTGTTCCGTTTGCGATTTGGTTGTACTCCGTTATTTTCGCCCGTAAACAGGTATCTAACTGGAACATTTCGCGCCAATAAAAAAAAAAAAAACGACAAGAAAGATCTTTTCGTATCTATTCGCGTTTCTCGGATCCAGTCGGTCGACATTAGAAGGGGTCGGTTTATTTTCGTTCCACGCGATTCTCTTAATGATCGAGAAATACCGAGGAAAAACGCGTGATACCGGGACCGTTTACAGCCTTGACGGTTTTGTTTCTCGGCGTGATCCGGTTAAAAACAACCGCGGACATTCGCGACGTTCGCAGTGCGCCTGTTCTAACCGTCTCTAGACGCGGTCGAACACCGTGAACACTCGTCGGGCCGTCCGCGTATCGGACGTCCGATCGTTTTCCCCCCCGTTCGGTTTTCACGCGGGCGAAATCGTTTTTCGGCCGAGACGGCGTTTCCGGGGAACGTTTCGGGGTCCGGAATCGAATAAAAACGATTCGGCGAACGTAATTCGCCGGGGGGCGACCCGGCGCGGTTACCGGCCGCCGCCGGTGGCGCGAGGTGATTTATCGGCGGCCGACGACGACCACGCCGGTTTTCGACGCGTGCCCAACGGCCGCCGTGGCCCGTCGCCCGTTCGCGCGCGATTACCGCGGCGCAGACACCGAACGGGGCCGACGACAAAACGCGAACGGCCGTCGCGTCACGCGGTCCGCGACACGGGATTTCGGTCGAAACGGACGGCGGCACGGTGCGGACCGGCGCGGCGTCCGGCCGCGCGAGCGCCGTCCGCGTCCGCGGCAACGAGTCCCGGGGAAACCGCGCGTTACCGACGACGCGCGTTTTTCAACGAGTGACAATGACAACGCGTCACGCCCGGGTCGCCCGAGCCGCGTTCACACCGCTCGTGTGTTATTGCATCGCGCTGTGTCGCGGAAGACAAATCGATTTGATTTTGTTTGTTTCTCGCACGTTATTACACCGAGGTTCGAGTGCCCGGACAATGCGGCGCAGCCATCGAAACTTTTTTCGGTCGGCTTTTTCGAATTTTTTTTTTTTTCTCGAACGCAAATCGCGTGTGTTAACAGGGCCGTTATTTTGAACCGCAGAATTTTCGCGAATGCGCAGGCACTCGGTTGCGCTCGAACGGGGTAATTGTTGTTTTCTTTTTAAACGATTTGAAAATTTTACTAAATCCGTATTATTTGAAAAAAAAAAAAAACCCATTAATGTCGATTATTCTATCAATCAATTATTGGAATACGTGGTTTTTTTTTTTTTTTTTTTAATAACTATAATTATAACTATAGAAACACGGCATTACTTATAAAACGTTGTTATTTAAATATTATAACATTGTATTTATTAACGACTATTAAAAGCATAATTAAACCAAAAAATACCGGGTATATAATACGTTTGGAAAAAAAAAAACGAAATATTAAAACCACGAGTTGTGTTTGAAAATTTAAAATTAAAAATACAAATATATATATTTTTTTTTCCGTTGATTAATATTATGATTTATCTAAATTTGATTAATAATAATGAAATATTGAAATTCGGTTTTGAAAAACGCATTCAATAGCACAAAACACGGCTGTGCGTAGCATAACAGTACCTTGTTATTAGAACCGGTTTCAAATTAATTTTCGATAATTTATTCATAAAACAAAATATATAAGGTAATTACGCACCAGTCGCTAATAGAACCATCATAAAAGTAATTATTAACTTTTAATATTTTTTGTAAAACTAAAGTAATTTTTTTTTTCTATCTCGAACGACGATGAATTACTAAATTTGTTATTATTATAACCAATCGCGGTCGTCATTCGTATTTCAAAAGAAATGTCGCGAATAAAATATTAAAATTTAGGATTTAGAAGACGATTCGATAATGAAGTGTAGTCTTGTAAAAACGCAAAATGTCCGTTATTATTGTTTTCGATAATAAACATTTTTATTAATTTCCATTGCCCGTGTTTCTAACGGTTCAACAGCCTATTATCGTGTTTTATCATTTTGAATTCGATGTTAAAAATCATAGCGTATTATAAAATTAACATTTCGCTATCTGTTTTACGATAAATAAATACAGGTAATTGGCCCAAACGAAAGTCGCTGCGTAATGATACGACGAACAACCGAGTAGGTAATTATAAAAATTTCAAAACACACGGTAGGTACACAATATCAGTAATAAAATAACGCTGTTTATTTGAATTAAATTGTAATCATAATTCATAAACTTGTCATAATATTATGTTTCATACCGACTATTGCATTCTGTGTTCGTCTGGTTAAAAAAAAAAAAAAATGATTTAAACGCTGTATGGTGTTCTACAAAATCCATTTGGAAATGATTTGAACAGGCAAATTATAATAATTCAATTACTCCAAAATAAAGTTGTTTTTTTTTTTTATAATCTCAATACTTTTATTATATACGAATACTCGAATAAAAAATAGTGAAAAGATTAACGTTCATTAAATCATTTTTTTTTTTTTTTTTGCTTTGCCGATAGACGTGAAGGCTACTCCATGCCGTACCGTGACCATGAATCTACGCTTAACGATTATAAGGAGAATTATATCGTATCGGCGGAGTGTGTAAATAATTTAAAAAAAAAAAAAAACATTCAAAACAGTATGGTATTTTTTGAAAGTCGAATTATTATAAAAATTAAACTCCGAACAATAATATTGCGCAAATCATACATCGTTAAAAGTAAAATAAATTGCGGAAATAAAGATTCCCAGTTATAGCGGACGTATGTGCTCGATAAAGAACGGTGTTATGCGTGTAAAAAAAAAAAAAAAAAAAAAAAAAAAAATAAAGTCGAAACAACTTGACGGTAAGCGGGTAATAAATTTAAAGATGTAGCAAATTGCGTGTGTGTATGCGGTCGACAGCTATGGAATGATAATACTATGGAAGCCGATAGGAAAAGGGAAAACAAAGATTATATTCAACCGGTATTTTCGCGATAATAAACGCTACCGAACTGTTGATATCATCATAGAATGGAATAACCAACCAAAAACCTATCGATTTGCACGTCGAAAAATGTTTGATATTATTATTACAGTGTCACGCGATTAGTGTTTTAATTTTTTTTTTTTTTTTTTTTTTTTTTTTTTATATACGCGCGATTTGAAAAGCTCCGCTTTCACATTTAAAAACTACTCCAATTAACAACGATTATTTCGATTTATTTCTTCTATTTCATCGGCGTTTAATATTTATTTTTTTTTTTGTTCAATACGTTGTCGTCTAGAGTCTCGTGGTTAATCGCGTGTGCACGCATTATCGCTGCACCGATAACCTGACCAATGACCATTGTATTGTAGAAAATTCGGATGGATTTTGGATTTTAAAAAGTAACCGCCGAAATATAACAGTTTGTAATGAATAGTATCGCCTGTAGTAAATTTCGATTGGAAAAAAAAAAATAAACACATTTTTTTTATCAATATGAGGATAATAATTACGAAGTACGATTTTAAATTTGACTGGACGTTCAATGTAATTATATTTAGACTATCGTACGCCAAGTGTTTTCAGTCTAGAATTGATACGTTAAAAGCATTCTGGTCTAAGATCGGAGGTATAACTATAAACTAGTCCAGTAAGTATCTAGTAAGTTAAAAAAAAAAAAAAACACGCACTGCAGTTATTACAAGACGCAATTCGTGTTGACATATTCATTGCCCGCTATAGATATTATCTATTATAGGTAGACACACCGCACGTATATATATAAACCTATAATCGGTGGAAAAAAAATTATACCCGCGGGGATTTCGTCCCCTTTTGTTTTTTATCTGATGGTCAACCGCGTCTGCGGTAGGGTAATAACAATGATGATATTATTATTACCGCGGCAGTTATTGCTTAGGCGATATTTTTTTTTTGTTTTTTTTTTTTTTTTTATTGTTTTGTTTTTTTAGGTATAAAACGAAAATTTATATTGCACCGGGATACCATGCGCCGTTAAGAATATAATAAAAAGTGTCACAGTTTTGTTTTCTGTATTTTTTTTAAACTCCACATGTATAATATACGCGATGGTTTATGGAACGATGTGTAGATACACGGGGTGGTATGAATTATCGTCGGCTGGCTATCCCGCTGTAGATATCGTGTGACAAAATAATTATCATGAAATGCACATTAAAACACGGAGAGTAATACCGAATATTGTATATCTGATAAGTTTAAAAAAAAAAAAAAAAAAACGAGAAAAAGATATAAGAGGCCATACAGTGTTGTGTACGACGCAACGATAAAAAATGAATATAAACGAATGTACGAGTATAATATTGTTACCAGTACGTTTTGTATATCCAATGGTATAGATACCCCAGATTGTAATGCTGCGGTTCAGCTACTGCTGATTGTAAAACTCATTTTTTGTCTTTTATTATTATTATTTGTAAGTAACGGGTTACTTGTGATTTCTATCGTAAAACTTGCTGCGCGTAGTATGATAATGTCAAACATTATTATTGTGTTCGAATATTGGCTTTAGACTGCGGTGAATCTGTTTTAACAACATGTGGTAATTAATAGCGATTGCCGCAATATGAAACGTATCACAGCTGTACGGCGTACGAAATGATAATTTACAAAGTTTAACGTCCATAAATAATAATACGGAAAATAAAAAAACAAGTAGGAAACGTAACATATATAAGGTGATATGAATTGTATCTGTGCGTAACTGTGAATCGTTGCTATCGAAAAACGATTCTGGGCGAAGTTTGGGTTTAAACGTGTTTTTTTATCGCGTCGTATATTTATTATCATAATACACACATATTTTTTCCACTGGAAAACAAACAAAACTAACGATTTCAAATAGCTCATGAAATCGCCGAATGTTTTTTTTTTAAATTTTTACACTAGAAAATCTAATACGGATATTCTGTGAGAATTTCAGGTTTGTGTAGAGACAAAATATACATAACGCGAATGTACAATTTTTGGCCCAGCGAATATAAAACAGTAGTGAAATGTCTTCATTTTTAAAGCCCACATTTAGGAAGGTCACATTAAACATACGGTAGGAGAGCAGTCAAGAGATTTAGAACGAGAATATAAATTAAATAACTATGTAATGTTTGATCGTTTGATAACGATTCGATATAACCGGTAAAATCGCGAACTTAAAAGAAACGTTCGACGTTTATCGGCCATCGATACCACAAGGCCACTGGTCTTAACTCTTATAGGTACTGGCTGTAAGTTTTAACCTATTATGTATGGCAACAATGAATTTATTTTCTCGGACGTGTAAAATATCTTGAAATTCGTTAAATTTCTCAAAACCTGGCTACTGTGCTCATCTGGCAGGAGGAAAAAAAGCATACATCATAAGACACAACACGAGTCTACTAAAACTGCGTTATCGCCCGGACAATGAAATACAGTCGACCGTCGATAATTCGATAAACTTCGTTTGACTAAACGTTCGATCCCCCAGAGAAAACCTCTGTAGTCCGAAGAAAACGCGTGTTTTTATTTTTTTTTTTCGGTCCCCTAGATAAATCGAAATTAATAAAGTGTGAAACGGCGAGATTAGAAGCGAGAAAGCCGATTTCAAATAATAACAACAACAATAATAATAATAATAATATGCAATACAATAATATTATTGTTCGGCCGTCTTCAAATTAGACGCAGTCCTTTCCCCCTCCTCCTCCCCCTCCCCCCCGCGGAGCCTCCCTAATATAAACCCGAACCGTATGTCTCGTCTCGACCGCAATACGTCGCGGCGACCATTTCGCTGGCCGAACAATTTCACGCGAACGCAAATACCTATACCGCCGCAATAACGCGACAGCTGGAGGCCGGCGAATCGGAAAACATTTCGTGACGACGAAATTTCGAAAATACCCGGTCGTTAAACGCGCGAAAACGGTACTCGTAAAGCGAGTTTTTTTTTTAAAATTATCATTATCACATCCGAGCGATCGTGGAAGACGGACGAAATTATTGCGCGCGGCAATAACGCCGGTCGTGTAGGATAAGCCGCGGCGGCACTATACGGAGGGGTAGGGGGAGGGGGTATGGGGGAAAAGAAGACCGCGGACAGAGCCGAACGTGCCGCGGGACCGCGTAGGGATTATTATTAGACGTCGTAAATAATATTGGATCGACGGCGGCGGCGACGACGACACGACGGCAGCGGCGGCGGGACGTGCGTGTACGAGTGTGAAGGGGACGGGATGGGCTGGGACGGGAGGGGACGATTGTCGAAAGTCAGATCCGGAGCGAACACCCGCCCCCCCCTCCCTCCCCTAACCGCCCGTCCGTCAGTGTGCCCGGGTCCCGAAGGCGGGACGGGAGAACGGCCGACTCTAATAAACCCGACACGAATTCCACACAAATCATCCGCAGCTTTTCCGCGCGCGCGCGCCAGTATTACAGCGAAAAGCTTTTTAAATATATATATATATATGTGTGTGTGTATACGTACGGGAGCGGGGTGACCGGGACGCGGACGATGCGCGGGGGCTGTTGCGAACGTACGAGACCGCGGCGCACGGTATTGTCACCCGATATAAACGCGCGCGCGGCTAGAGACGGACTTTTACACCCTCCGACGGGCATGCGCATCCGCGCGCGCGCGCGGGTGTTACGGTGGACGAAAATCTTTGATTTATTACGCGCGAAATGAACATTACGGACCCGCAGTCGACTCGGAATTCTTCAATGTCCGCGGCGACATTTCAATGATATAATAATACGATAATGTGTTGTACATTTAAACGCAGAGATGTGTGTAACGACGGAAGTATGCGAACGTGTGTAGTTTTTCGCGAATTTTCACGTTAATTTTCAATGTTGTTAAACCGACACGGTGCGATACGCGAAACGGCGGCCGCGGCGCACCGGTGAACCGATTACAACGGTAATCGGACGACGCGTTTCCAGGCGGGCCGGCGTTCCGAATTAATCGTTCGTTTACGGGTCGAATTTTCCGGAAACGCGCGTTTCCGGTTCGACCGAACTCGGTCCGCGGTCGGCCGACGAAGCAACTCTAATCCTTGAATTCGGACTCGTTCGGTCTCGGAAAAGCCGCTGAAAATGTCCAAGAGCGACGGGAAAACAATTGACGGTAAAAATTAAACGCGACGCCAATGCAAATTACGGTACCCGTCTCGGAGAGAGAAATCGGATAACACCGAGCTATGAAAATGTTTGGGCAGACTGCAGACGGCTGAGTGTGTATGTGTGTAAATATTGTTTTTTTTTTTTTTTTTTTTTACACGAAACTGCACTTTGAAAAAAAAAAAAAACGGTTTAATATTTCAAAAGACGTTTGAATAACGTGCTGCAATACCCACACACTTCAAGTCGCGTGAAACGGTTTGTACGGCTATAATATTATACCGGTATGTGTGTTGCGTGCGTACGCCTACTGTTCTCCCGTGGCTTTTTAATTGTGAAAACGTGAATCGTTTAAAACAAGCGCGTAATTTTGTCTAATAAATGTTAACAATAAAAAAATAATGCGATTCCGTTTACCGTTCCGACGTTTCGGTTTTAACAAATAAAAACCGCGGGCGTTACAACGTTTTCCGATCCCCGCGACTTATCCGGTGTAACCGTAGTGGTTGAATTATGATTCGAGTTTTAAATGTTCCATTTTCATTAATTTTATACATTTATGTACAGGTTACACTCGACGTGTTAGTTTACAACGAAACCCGAGGTGCACGTGCGAGTATAAAATTTCTTCCGAAACGGCAATTGAGAAAAAAAAAAAAAACACTAACCAGAAAAAGAATACAGTAGACGCCTATAGATATTCGCAGACGAGCACACAATTCAAAGTTTCAACCATATACCGTTTCGATAAACTGATAAACCGTTTTCTGTATCCGAATCCGTATAATGTATTGTTGTTTTTCGCGTGGAGTTTTCAAAATTATGACGTGCTCGCGCCGCGACGGAACCAGTTTCCGTCGAAATGAACCTTTACCTTTTCCGCCAACCGCGTTCGCCGTCATTTTCGACTGGATTTTAGGTGTACACTTAGGACACTGACTTACTCGGACCAGTGTCAGGTTCGGATCTACAGTGTTTTTCAACGACCAGGGTGGAGGATACAGCCAATAAAAACGTTTACGAGTGCGTAACGTATTATTAACGTACGTAAGAGTACGTATCGAATATCATGACGAGAATACATTTGTATGTAAACCGAGGGAAAAGGACACTAACAGCGGCCCCGGTGTCAAAATGAGTTCAATTAGTAAAAAAACGACAAGGGGAGCGGTTATAACGGAAACGCGTATTGGTGAAAAAAGGAAAGGCGTTCGTTGGAGCGGTAACTGGTTATACACTTTATACCCGTGTGTATCAATGCATTTGGATTTAGATATTTTTTAACGCGTTGAATGTGTCCGTGTAAACGTTTTAAATTTATTTTACGGACTACAAGAAAGCAAATACACGATTTGTGCACAATAATGGCATTTGCGCTTTGCACTATGGCAAGGGCGTATTGTTTTGAGTTGGCCTCGGTCAATAGTATAAATGTGTAATACGAGTCTGCGGTGTTTGATATTATACCATTAGAACAATTCGAATCTATAACAGCGACGTATTCATCACGTGTTAGAGACAATCCGCGGATGATGTACAATAACGTTTTAGAAATACCTCTAGGGCTATACACCCTGCCGGCTGTGACGTTCGCAATACATTTCGACCGGTGTCTGCTGTAAAACCGTTAAAACTGCAAAACAAACGCTGCAAGAAAAGGCCTATGGATTGTCGTCGCGTGATAGTGTATTGCGCGAACACTGTTTAATACGAATGCACGTGGTTCCGCCGATTAACTCGAATGTACCCGATAATATATGCCTACACGTCCAGACGACCCGTACGCGAACGATTAACGACAAACTTTACGTGTCTGGTTTTTCAGCCGGTTTAACGTATACATAAAACCGAGTTTACTGAATCGGTTTTCATTGAACAATGACCGTTTTCAATATATACGGAGAGGAACCTCGAGTTTCGACTCTAATGTAGTCAATTATTGGTATTTGTAAAATACATCGTAGGTAGGTACCTGTGTGTGTGTGTATATACGTTTATTTTTTTTTTTCGTTTTGTTTTTTCATTCTTATTCCTTTAGCCGTTTCCGTTTGTGAATGAGAGTGCTCCGATGAACAAAGAGCGCATAAATATGCTGGAATGTGGAGCGACTACCTGTCAACGGGCAAAGCTTGTCAATCTTCAGCGGATTTATGCTACGCTGCGACGACAGCGGTCGTAGTATAGGTACGGATCCAAAAATAATAACTTTTATCTGCACCTATAAATAGACAATAAAAAATACCTGGCGGCTAGTACGTATATAATATACAAATTCGTTTTTACTGCAAAACACGAAATTTCGAAACAGTTTTTGTATTAAAACCGTTCGTTAAAAAATTTAAGCGTATGAGGCGATGCCACAACGATAGTATCGTTTTTGTTTTTCAAGGAAAACTTTAAATTAAAAAAAAAAAAAAAAAAAATGAATTTTAACTCCAGTGGGTGTTCAAAATCAAAAATTTAAGCATGAGGACTCGGCAACTCGACACTCGTTTAGAAATTTCAATTTAAAAAATCCACTTTTGACGTCTGTTGTCGGACCCCCGTAAAAAATGTTAACAATGCGCACGCGCGTGCCGTAGATTTAGCTGTGCACCACACGCAAACAATTCTTTTTCGCTAGATGCGTGTAAAAACAAAACCGTAATGACGCAATATCGTTATCAATATAGTCATTTTAATAAAATAAATTAAAAACATTTCAAACGTTTGAACGTTATTATTATAATATCAAGTATACCGATGATGCGTGAACTATGCGATATCGACTACTTATTCGGGTACGCGTTGACCGAATTCATCTTTTTTAAGAGGAGAAATACACAGTTTGAAAACTAAATGTACCTACGTTTCTATCGTACCGTATCGTATATAATATATTGTTCTATTATAATATGCGTTGAGAAAAAAAAAAAAATCCATTTTCAGTCAACACGGTCTTTGACGGCGATAATTCGAACGAAAAACTACCTATAGTCTACGTTTAAATACTGAAAATCTACAATCAAGCGTAAGTGTATAACATTCGAATACTGAACGATACAGGTATCTTCTAATTACTAAATTAACAAACAGTTAATATATTTTTTCAGAAAACACTCCAAGAAAAACACCGCCGAATTCCACAGGTTACGTTTCGATTAGTTACAACGTATTTACTTTTATATTTGTATTGTTATTTTTTTTTTTTTCTCTCTCTATATCGTCGTCCAAAACAATTGCGTACATAGCCTTTGTATTCGGTCGTTTTCCCACACACGCGCCCCCGAAAATATTGTCCACCCGCAGTACGAATAATCGGACAACTACTATGACTACGCTACAGAGCTCTCTGTTTCGCGTGCGCGCGTGCTTACCGACGTTGGTTAAAAGATCCGTGTGCACGCGTGTATTCACGTAATCTCATGCGCGGCGTGATCGCGGGAATCGCACTGAAAAACACACGCGAACGGCCGAACGCGGACGGTACGTTCACGTGTACTGAGTAAAAGTACACGTCTTTTCATTGGCGTTTACACGGACGTTTGACGTTTTCGCGTGTTGCCGATTCGAATCGTTGTCAAACGAGACCTCTAAACCGCATACCGTAACACGAACTATTAACCCGTTCGATTGTTAATGTACACGCTCGCCCACATTAAACGGTTTTTGTCATGCGCCATCCGTTTATACACGTTTACAGTAATCCGAAATACGTTCCGCATCCAGTAGGCGCTCAACGGCGCGGGAATTGACGATTTCGAATTCGTATAGAATTCACGAATACGGAGGACATAATAAGACGATCGAAAGTACGGCATATTTTATATGTTAACGAATTCGGTAGACATAGTTTGTTCTTTAATAATGGTCAATATACACCCTAAATTTATATTACGTATACGAAACCGCAATGGCATTAGTATGTATAGAGATACAAATATTTTTGTTCTAAACAAAAAAAAAAAAAAAAAAAAAAAAAAAACTAAAAAAATAATAACTTCGATTCGAATAATATACGAAAAGCATATTCCAATATCCCTTCGAAGGTCATCAAGGACATTACGGCGACCGCAACCCAATAATTTTGATACTACTTTTTTATGTGTTCCTTTGCTCCCACATCGGTTTGTAATGAAAAAAAAAAATAACTCTCCAACCCTATTACCCGGTAGGCGGTACTTGGTATATAGCGTCCACGTACATATATTGCTTTTAGGTGATATTATGATTATAAAATTAAAAAAAAAAAAAAATATAATAATTATTATTAGTTTTTTTTTTCCTATCTGTTATTATTATGTAGGTAGTGATATGACGTTTTCACGGTGCAACGACAACGCATGTAATAGGTAATATTATTTCGAAGCTGTACGGTATAAAAAAATAATAAACCGGTTTGCGTTCAAATTAAATATGTAGACAAATTAACTAGACAGCGTCTGTACAGCTTATAAGTGGTCTATGAGTAATAATCGGCAAATAACGATTGTAATTGGTGTAAAGAATCAATTCAAGGCGATTTACATTGCACTCTATGTGTATGCGTTTATTCGGTTTTTTTCTTATACACCCGTAGGCTCGGTACACATTCCTAAAGAAGATTCAAAATTATTCGGTTAGTTTGAGTTTACATAAGTCCTGGTTTATTTTTCCTTTTTAAATGCTGCACGGCGTTTTCTGTGAACGGTTTCCATTTTCTGTTCTCCTGCATTAAGACCAATAATCTACCGAAAGCTTATCGGAACCCGAACACGGATGCTCCGTATAATTACTATTTAATATATTATTATTTTTTGTATTTCTAGTGTTGTACCAGTATTGGTTCCTATTAGGATAGATTTTAAATTTGCCCGATATTAACATTTCAACTACACTTTTCCCCTTCTGTAAATCGTCGAAAATTAAATATTTCTAAGTTTGAGTAAAACGATTTCGTTCAAAATATAGGTATGCGTATTAAGTAATATTGTATACTCGTGCACATATTAAACGTTAAATAATTCATTAGGTATGGGCCATGAATAAAACCCGCAGTATTAAAATGCCTCGATTTAAACGGGTTATTACGGCAAGAATTTTATCGGCTACGTTTACCCGTTTAAAAAAAAAAAAAAAAAAATGTATTTACCGGTAAAAAAAAAACATATCGTGGTAAAAACAATACTCGGACCGGAGTTTAAAATAATACCTAGCCAATATAGTAACTACCCGGTGTACCCGTACATCGAATCAAATTTATATGCTTGTACGAAAACCTATGCGCATAACACGTATAACAAGAGAAATATACGCAAATATCTATTCAATGTTTTCAGAAAGAACAAAAACGTCTTACGTCGCTCCGATTAAGTACCTGCACGATAATACCACTATACATTCACTACAGACGATGTAAGTATAAACATATATGTACCTATAGTTAAGATCGCCTATAATGTTTTTTTTTTTTCTTTCGTTTTCTTTGTTTGTCCGTTCCCGTTTCGATCCAACGGTTGCCGCTACCCACTGTTTGTCATTTGTCATTAATTAGTTAGATTAAAAAAAAAAACGAATCCCGCACATTAACAAATATTAAATAACGTGCGTGCATAGACAAGTACCGGGGTAAAAAAGTAGATCTTTGATCATCACGCCGCGTAGGGTTTGCATCGTACGATTTGCTAATAAACGCCACGTAGGATTTCCATGCTACATGCGTAACACATGTTTTTAACGTCACTTGGGCTTTCTAAAACCATCGTATTGTTACGTCCGTGTGTAAACTAACAACTGTAGCAGCGTGTACTTTAGAAAAAGTGTGAGGAAAAACAAAGCCGATACTGCGGATGGATGTGGCACGGTGGTCAGTGGGAAGTTGGCAAAGTATGGTACACACAATTGTTTTATTTATATTCAACGATAGTCCATAATTAACGAAAAGCGGTTCTGAGCGAAGTTTTGAAATGCCGTAACTTTTACGATTTTCGTCGAGATTTGACTTTAAAACGTTTAAAAAAAAAAAAAAACTACTACAATACGCTAAAATTATGTTTTTTCTTTGAATACTTATTGGTACAACTTATAGTGGACCTCACGCTCTCATGATTGATTCATTGTAAGCATTTCTGTTCAATCAAACACTTTTATCCATATTTCTACTGAATAAAAACTAAAATACTAGAAAATATCAAACACCTATAATCCTTCCAAATTAATATTATAAATGTGAAAGTAAGTTTGTCTGTTACGTTTTCACGTCTAAACCGCTGAACCAATTTCGATGAATTTTGGTATAGAGGTATATGGGGCGTTGGTGAAAAACAAACATAGGCTATTTTTGTCATGATATTAATACTTAAAAGGGATGAAAAACTTTTTGTATTTTTTGTATACAAAAAGTATTTTGGTCCGAAAATTAAGCTATTTTTGTTGAATTATGAATTAACTTAGTAACAAGGATGAAATTAAAAAAAAAAAAACGAACTATGCACTGTACTGAGTGGGTAAGTGAAAAGTGACAACACGTGACACGTCGCCTATGAATCTTTGTATTTGTCGGTACAGTAACAACACCGTACAGTAATATATAATATTATATTCTCATAATTTTGATGTTATTATAATGGATATTATAGTTTAATCCCTATGATGTGCGCGTATCTATGGTGACACGGATGAAAAATGTGTGACACAATAAAACACTATAGGCGGACTACCCACATTTTATCTAATTTTTTTTTTTCGTATGAGATAAAACTGATACGAGCAAGCTAGCAAACAGAGATTAAAGATGAAAATAATAAAAAAAAAAAAATGGCATGGGCAACGCCAGGCGCGGGACAACCATAGTAAGATATAAAAGTATGGTTTAAAAATGTTACCACGTCTAGAAAAGGCTAATGTAAGTTTTCAAGTCTCAACGGTTATTCTCAACCTGAGTGAAAATCTAAAATAATATAACCGGTAATGCCATACGTTTTCCACATGTCTTTCGTACGTTTTCCGGGGTTTTCGCAATTATTATTAAAACGACACAAAAATGTTTAATATTTCTTATTGAGCAAGAGGATATTATAACGATAATATGCGAGAATATTTATTTTATTAATACTACGTAAATATTATACGCGTCATACGTACGATATATAATATTCACTATGTGTAAACAAACAAAATACATTACCTTGTAAAATAGCATAGAGGTAGGTAGGTATCTATACATTTGTGTTCAATTCAGAACTGATTATTTTTTTTTAGCATCTGGAAGTAAAAAAGTGAGTTATCTACTTTACTCAGAATTGTTGTACAGGTGCCTAACAAATTAGTTTCACACAATACATAGGGGTAAACCATGTCGAATTGATATTTCCCGCCATTATTGAAATAGGTAATCGTACATCGCAAATCTAAATATATTATACTCATACCGTCACGGGAATTTTTAAGTTTATTTTTTATATTATAAACGCGTTAACATCATCAAAAATTACGTTTAAAACTAGACATCTATACATACTTTGAATAGATTAAATTTGTTCAAATGCAATTGTTTCCAAATAAACTAATTTAATGATATTATAATATCTGATTTCTTATACAAACGTTCATAATGTATTTGATATGTTTTGTAGCATCTACTAGCTACTTGAATATTGTTATTTATTTGGTAATTTTTCGCGAGACATTCGTAACCTCCGAAAGTGTTAAATTGTTTTCGGAATTTCGAAGAAATTTTGGAAAATGTAAAATATTCATGGTTTTGAAATGTTACATTTATTTTATAATACTTTATTTTTTTCACCCTTATGTTTGGTGGTAAAACCACTACCAATACCTTTGATTTTCGAACGACAGTAGTCTACACGTATAGAAATAATACGATATTAAAATGTCCATAGACAAACATAGTCTAGTTGCAATACTGTAAATATTTCTAAACAATTATATCGAATTATTTGTAATTTATAATTTACGGGTGTTTATTGATTTTGAATTGCAAGTTTTCAAATTCGTTATTTCGTATATTTTAGATGAGTATTTGAAGTCAGGTTAGAAAAAATAATATCGTCGACTACGAAATTATAAATAGTTTCCATCAGATACACATTATGTATTGTAATCTCTTAGACCAAATGCATTGACAAAATTTATTGGCTTATATGTTTAAGAAACACAGTACCTAAGTATTATAGTTATATATTTATGATACATAGCCATCACAGGTATACCTAGGTACTGTATAATACATACATATGTATATGTATATATATATATATATATATGTATAGCGCATAAGTATAGACTAAATGCCATAATTTTGTCAATGATTACAAGTATTTACAATTTTCAGCATCAAAAAATTCAAATTGAGTAATATTCAACAGTAAAAGCATTGTTGGAAAACCGATTGTATATACGTATATTATATATAATTATGGTTTATATTGCTATTGTTTGAAGGGAACTTCTTTAGCTATTGTGTAGAACGGAAAATAGCATTTAAATTTTTAAAAAGTTTGATTTTTAGACTAAAAATTATTAAAAAAAAAAAAAATTCTTCTTTTGTTATTATTATTTATTCTTCTTTAATTATCCCACGAGTTTCAAATTGTACAAATTAAATAATTTAGTTTAGATGTAACCATAGGCTACACAAAAATAATTGTTAGATGTGATTATGTACTTATAAATGTATTCCCGTTTTAAAAATAGTTCAACGCCACAATATGTTTTCTACGGAGAAACGAGAAGACTTCAAAGCATGCGTATTAGGCACTTACCCATAATATAGTGCATTCCGATTGACGATTTTTACATTTTTAATACGTATTATTTAAGTATCAGTTTTTATACCGTTACAATCGACCGAGTATTTAATTAATATATTTGTTCATATTATATGAAATAATAATTTATGAATTATACCATCAGTATGTAGGTATACGCAGTAGAGATATACAATTTATATTATTAAATTTAATATATTTTTTTGTCTACATCGCAAAATGAATTTAATAAAGTATTCAATTTATCAACCGCAATTAATATTATTATATCTTTAATGCAGTATTGAAATTTGTACTAACAGATAACTAAAAAATAAAAATATTAACTATTCTAAGTAATAGGTTTGCTGTATTTATTTATTTTCTTATATCACTATAAAGAAACCTATTATTGTGACGCAGTGAAATCTATAGATAATATGGATTACGATAATATATCATAACATGCACATTTCATTATGTTCTTTGAAATTGTGTTTGCACGTAAAACAATACCTATGCATAACATAGAACTTTTACAAACTTTGTTGGCTAACGACCCAGCAGCCGAAGCCTTTATTCATAATTAAAAAAACAAATAAATAAATTATACGGTGCAACGTTAGATTAGTTATTAGATTATCTATCGCAATCTAACACAGATGCACGGGGCAAATAATTTAAATAACAATATTGATTGCGGTTTGATTATTTGCGAATAAATTGAAAAATGTAAAAAAATGAACATTTGTTTTCGCGGTGGGTATGATAGATATAGACATACCCGTGTTTTTATCGTATCTTATGTTGTTGTAACGGACGAAACGTAACGTTGTACTCGGGGGAAAGCGTACATGATTGTCGTCGTCGCACGGTTACCGTGCCTTATTCGGACCAAAGGTATATTACGAAGGCGAAAGTGTACTTAAATTTTGAAAAGAAAACAGTAAAAATCGTTTCGACATTATGACCAACCTGTAGTACGGGAACGGTTGGGGCACGTGCAAGTCCATCGGCGTGTGGGCCGGATGAGGGTGAAAACCGTTGACGGCGGCGGCAGCGGCCGCGGCGGGGTGTAGTGGGTGATGGTGGTGGTGGTGGTGGTGGTGGCGGTGATCCGCGGGGCCGTGGTGGTGGTGTCCGAGTACCGCGGCGGCGGCCCACGGAGACGCACCGCCGCCACCGCCGTCCAACTCGACGTGCATGACGTTATTTATACGGCGCGGCCGTTTGCCGATAAAATTCAATTAAAACCAAATACCGTTAAGAAAAAAAAAAAAAAAAAAAACAATACGAACGAAAATAATAGCAAAACGCGCACTCGGATCGAACTCAACCGCACAACATTTCACCGCGCGGATACAAAACAAAAATAATTTATATTATACTACAACGACGAGAGCGAAACGGCCGTCGTACGCGCGGTATGTGTGGAAGAAGATTGGAAATTTGAAAAAAAAAAAAAAACAAACGAACAAACAAACAAACCGCGAGTTTTTTTCTATATATATATATATATATTATAATTTCGTTTCGCACACGCGATTAAATTAATTAGATGATCGATTCGGCGCGAACGTTCGCGTTGCGGGAGACCGAAAAAACGAACCGCGGCGGGAACGGAAATCGGAAGAAAATAAAAAAATCAATACCGTTTGCAATGCGCGCGAACGTCGGACGGTGCAGCTGATACGGCGGCCGGCAGCGACGCATCATTGATAAACCGCGCGGTGGCCGTGTCGTCGATCGGCCGGCGCACCGCACGTCCAATGGGCGTGCACCGGCGATCCACCACCACGGCGCGTAGCCCCGCCCATCGCCCGACGCCCAGCCGAATACCTGCCCGGGGTTTACCTGTTGTTCGCGCCGCGGTCCCGAGCGCGGCGCCGACGACGACGTCCCGGCCCCGGGTACGCGGCCGTAAAACGTTTAGCCTCTGGACCGCGAGCGCGCGCGCGGGGAATTGGATGGGTGGGGGGGGGGCACTCGCGGACGCATCGCGGTAGCGATGGTCACGGTTTTTCGACGGGCCGTTTCGGTCCGGCGTGCGTGCTACACGAACGACGACTTTGAAAAAGGCGTATAGGTACGGATTAACGTTATCCGTTGATATTGATGTTGTACACCATAAAATGAACCGGACGCGCCGCGCTTGTGACGGGTAAATTATATTGGGTGTTTACAACAGAAAAAAAAAGAGAATCTATAGCGAAAAAAATCCGGGTAAAAAAAAAAAAGTCCCGACAAAAACAGTCCCGCGAAAATATCGTTGATTTGAATAAAGTATAATTATCATCAATAATATTTTAAAATATATACCGTAATTATTATGATGTATACGATCAATGATACTGTGAAGTTTTTTTTTATTTTTAAGTTTATTTTTAGCAAAAATTTAACATTTGTTACGGAATTTTTATCCTACTCTAGGAACTTTTCATCACGGCACTCTATTTTCCGTACACTAATGAAAACAGCAAAAAATCGTGGTAAACAAAAAAATAAATCTGGATGACGTTCGGGTAATTGCAGATTATGGACCAGACAACTATTAAGGTCACGTTCTTGCATGTGGCCTCGAGAACCAATTTAACCTAACCTAAATAAAATTTGATCGGCAACCCCAGAGTTGAAATATAAAGAAATATATCGAATAAAGCATATCTATTAACCAAAATTAAATGGTTCACTAAATTCAAAAAATATATGTTAACAATTGTAGACCATCATTTGTGTAGCGGCACGGCGCGCGGCGTTTTAACAACGCACCACTACTCTCCCCCGACCCAAACTAAATAGTGGAATATCTCGTCAACGGATTAACGGAAATCAAAAATTTCAACCCCAAAAACTAATATTCCGTCTATTTATGGAATTTTTAATTTATGTTGCTATTTGAAAATCGAAAGTAGGTACTGATTACCTGAAAAGTAGGTACCCCAAAAATAAGGGAAATAAAAATAATATAAATATAAAATTATAGAGCTCCTTGTTTCTTAAATGTTCTATAGAAAAAATACCAAAAAATAAGTTAAAATTTTCCGGGCTAATGTAGAAGTCTATACAAATTAAGTTTTTATAACTTTCTTATACATTTCATAAATGTATGTAACCAGTCACTTTTTGATCAAAAAATGATCAAACAAAATTAATTTTGTAAGTTATGAAAAGACCTTGCTATCAGTCCTTGGTTATTGATCAGCGTCATAGACTATAATGAGTTGAAAATCTGAGAATTTTTATATATTTCAACAAATGAACTATTCTTACAATAGTAAAATTTCACTAGATTCCAAGTGAATGTTGTGTATTTTTTCGTGGTCTTTAAGAAAAAAACTATGTACAACCTCGTAACTTTCGTTACTTAATAAGTAAATGTAATTTAATTAAAAGTATCATTACTTTCATATGTCATTTAAATGGAAAAACTAAATATGCCATGAGCTAGTTCTAAAAATTTATTTTTCGGTCTCAAATTCTTTTTGGGTAAGTTTGGGAACACAAGGAAGCAATTTCCAGTTTTTATTTGACAAAAAAAAAAAATTAAAAACCAAAACGGCCTAATAAGTAAAGATAAAGTATACTAGTACAATAGTACACTAGTACCCTGGCAGTTGGAATTCAAAAAACCTAAGTGCTCGTTATTAATGCGCGGTTGTCGGTTATTAACCTATGGTATAGGTACCGCATATTGTATAAAATATGTACTCCAATCATCATAGAAAAAAATCAACTTAAAATATATTATGGTAATATTATATATGGGTAGCCGTGTACAAACACTAAACAATATGTGCGGCTAATCGAACAGGCAGTTGGAATCACGTCCCGCAGAGTGCACATTATATTATATACCTATAGCGGTAACTTACTCGTGTTTGCCCCCATCTCATCACTATACCTATACTGTCCATGACAAATTTTACAATGATCAATCGGTACTTTATACTCGGACATTAAAAACACGTTATAAAACCCCACCTAAATATATATATATATACGGGGGTGCTCAATCTATCGTAAGACACTAGTTATCCCGAAAAGTATTAATTTTTTTTAAATGTTTGTTTTTAGAAAATTTAAAGAACAACCGGTTCTAAAATGTTACATTATCATTATTTCTATCGGCCTTATTTTTTGGCGGTGAAGCGACTACTTGCCTACTTTTAATTTTTAAACGGCAACCTGTGTTCAAAATGCTATAAATAGACGGAGTATCAGTTTAAACCCTTCAATGTTTTTAAACTGATCTATTTATCGCATTTCGTGTAACATTATACAACTGGTTGTCCCTTAAATTTTCTAAAAAAAAAAATTTTTAAAAAGTTAATACTTTCCGGGATAACGAGCGTCTTACGATGGATTGATCACTCCATATATAAGATATATAAGTAAATAGTAAACGCCAAAACAACATTATTTCAGTATAAGAATAACACGAATAATATTTATTTACTAAAATTGGTTATCGATTAAAATGATTTATCGTTGCTATTAGTTGTAAACTAAATTATGTAATATCCAATATAATTCAAACTTTCCACCTATACCTAACAATGACCTAACTCACGGTAAAAATTATATCGAGATTTTTATACTTGTACTGTTTTAGAGATTGTTAACACGCATCATATCTAATACAAATTAAACAACTTGCACGCATAATATAGATATTATGTGACGGTTAATGTTGAAAATTGGATAATGTCCTCTTTTCGTTCAGCAGAACCGATTGTGTGCTGTTAGTTTTAATATTATTGTAAATTGGCCTTTTGTTAAACTTCAAGGTAAAAACAAATTCTGTGTTCGTACGTTAGTTTTTTTTCGATATTTTAATTTTCAAACGAGATATAAAGGTTCTCGTGTCTTACTAAAAAAATTTAATATCGGTAAAACATTAACGTACCAACACAGACATTATTCTTATCTATATGATAAATAAAAGGCCGATTAACTCTAATATTAAAACTAACAGCACAAAATCTGTTTTATGAACGACAAGTTGACGTTATCATACAATGTTCATCATTAGCCATAACATTTATATATATGTGTACATTATATATTAATAATTTGTAATCTAAAACGGAAATAAGAATAATTTTGCAGCATTGTGTACAGTAGGCCAATAATACTGTGCTTGAGACTAAAATATATACGCATTAGGATATATTGCCATAGAGGATGTACTGTACTCCAGTCCTGTATACCAAAGCCACGCCGCACAGGGGTCAAATTATACTTAGGTGGTCGTAAAACGATACAATTAGCGTGTATCATGTGGTCAAAATCGTTCCATAAAATATATACACCCCTCGATTGTTAGACATTAATGTTCAGTGTATACAATAATGTATATAAATTGTACAAACAGCAAACTCGCAAGTAATATAATTTGAACCAAATGAAACCGCGTTATTACATAATAATAAGTGCCTAAGTACTTACTGAAATGACTTGATTTTCAGTAAACATTGTAAAAATAAATAAACGTGCATTAAGAAATATATTAAATTTAAACAACTAGGTATTACAACTCCCTACCTACAACATAAATATGTTGTAGGTAGGGAGTTGTAAAAGTATGGAGGATATTGGGTAATTTAATTGTATGTTGATTTCGGTTAACTGTGTATTTCGCTTTGTGGACACAGTAAACCAGCTTGGACATCGTAATTTATTGTCAATATTTTTAATTTTGTTTAAATCTAGAATATTAATCCAATGGGAATCTACAAAAATTGATGATATAACGTGCTACCGGAAGAAAACTGCGCGTCTTTTAAAGTACGGTGTGAACAATTCAGAGCATATTTACTATTCGAAAAAAAAAAAAATGTTTCCTGTATAATAAAAAAATACATATTAGTGAAACTATAGAGATATTAAATTATCTTTTTCGTCGTTCAGAATCTAATAGATAATCAAATATATAATGATTCTAATTATGTACCATTAAATATAATTTATAGATTTAGCTAATAGATAATAGCTTAATTAATAACTTATTAATAAATTATTAATAACTAATAGATTAGTTATATACGACAAACATATTTCTTAAATTAACACAATTTGCGGACACTATTGTTGTACAAGGTCCAAAATTATTTAGGACATGCCCATGGCAGTTAATATAGGCTTGAAAAAAAAAAATTTAATACGCCTTGTAGATCCACAATTCTTAAATCCTTCATCATAATGA